ATCTGTGGGCGCGCCGGGGAGAGAAGGTGTGTTATAGGCTGGGCTCTGGCCCAGCGCCTTCCACGAGTGGCCCAGCGCGGGAGCCCCTAAAGGGGCACCCTTATAGGTGCAACTAGGCAATAATTGGTTAGTATTGTTATTATAAATCCTTTTAGCCTTACAGTTAAGAGGGTTATAGCTATAAGGCTACTAATAGTAGTAGTACTAGTTGCTACTAGAGCCCCTCTAGGGCTAGTCTATTATATTAAATTAGAATATCCTACCTATAGTAATATACCTTAAATAATATATATTAAGTATATAGTAATTATATACCTTTAGCTATAAGAATACTAGTAATCTACTAATAACTAAGTATAATATATTAAAGCTAAAAATACTTATATAAATAGTAGTTACTATAGTAGTTTATAGTATAGATAAAGCTTATACTATAAAATAGTATTTAGAAAATAAAAATCTTAAGAAAGTGCTTATAGGAGTTAAGCCTTATATAGCTAAGTTTAATATAGTATTAAAGATAAAGAAATAGGTAAAGGATTATATAATAGAATTAATAGTAAAGCTTATAGTATTTTATAGTAAAAAAGGAAGATAATAGGATAATAAAGTATAGAAGATAGAGTTAACTAATATAGAATAGTAAAAGCTAAAGATTATTAAAGATATTAGGTAAGTTAAGCTAGTAATTATATATAGTAGTAAGAAAGAAAATCTAAATAATATTAGCTACTTTACTTATATATAGCTATAATAAATACCTTCTTAGCTAGTAATTAAGTTACTACCTTTTATTATATAATCTAATAATTATATTAATATTAAGCTAGTAATACTATAAAAAGTAGCTAGGTATAATATTATACTAGTTAAGGTAGAATATAAGTATTTATATAGCTTATAGGAGAATATATATAATATAGTTTAAAATAACTTATATATAGTAAATAAGATTAATATTATTAATAAGTTATAAGTATATATAGCTAAGATATAAGGAATTATAAATACTTTAAAGAAGGATAATAAGATAATATATTAAGAACTTACTTACTTAAAGGACCTAGTTAGTAAAGTAAATATTACCTTAATAAAGCTATACTAAGATACTAGATAGTTTATAATACTACTACCTACCTTTATTAAAGTAGTATACCTAGAAGGTAGTACTAAGCTACTTAAGAGCTATATAGGGGAGCTAATATATATTATAAGAAAGATAGCTACTATAATAAAGGATTAACTTTAAAGACCTTAACTAGGTTAGGAGATAATAAAGGCTATAAAGGATTAGATTAATAAAGTTATAGCTTATACCTTTATAGATAAGCTTAATATAGTTCTATATAATATTAACTTTATATACTAAATAATAAAGATAAGTATAGCTACTATATAATAAAAGGTTATATCTATATAGGTATATATTAATATACTAATAGCTATATAGAAGTCTAGTAAATACCTATTTAATACTATTTTTATATTTAAATATAAGCTTTTTAATATATAATATATAAACTATTTAACTATTATTACTATACTAAAGGTTATATATAAAATAATAAAAAAAAAAATAGTTAATAATATTAGTATATAACCTATAAAATAGACCTATATAGCTTTTAGTATATTCTACTACCTTAGTATAATAAACTATACCTTAAATATCCTTATAATAAAAGGCTTAAAGAGCTATATATATTAGTAAATAAAGTATATATTTATATAATAATTAATATTAAAGTTAAAATTTAATAGTAACCTTATATAATATATAATAATAAAAAAGGCTAAAGATATAATAAGTATAGTACTCTTTATAACTAAAATAAATATAACTATTAAAGTAACTAAAATAGTAACTAAGATAGTAAAGTTAAAATTAAAGTTTAAATAAAAGCCTATACTATAGTAGCTAAAGCTAGTTAAGCTAATTTAAGACTAAAGGTAGTATATATTTAGAATAGATAAAAGCTAGTTTATTAATCCTAAGGATAGTTAGTTTACTAATCCTATAAATATAGGTATATTAAGCCTAATACTAATTAAGCTATATATAAAGGAACTTAAATAGAATATAAAGGTATTAGAGTTAACTAATAATATAGATAAGGATAATATAGATAAGAATAAAATAGATAAAGTAAATAGGATAGAAGTATAAGGATTCTTTAGGTTATTTCTTTTTATTTTTATAGAATAATACTCTTTTCTTTTATTATAGGACTTATATATACCTATAATTTAACTTTACTTAAAAGGAATTATTATTAACCTCTTTATATATAGTAAAGTATAATTAGTTTTTATCTATATATAGGGTAAGATTATTTAGTTTTATTTAATAGTAAGGTTACTACTATAGGTAATAAGGCATATTGTTATGTGCATAGTACTACTTAGGGCTATAAGCTACCTACTTAGCAGCTATAGAATAAATCATCATCTTGCCAAATTCCCTTGTGCCCAACAGTTGCTGAGCGCTGTGGAGCGACTCGTGGTGGGCGACATGCATTGGAGAAGCGGAGAGGTGGCCCGGGCCGAAACGTCAATGTGTATGCTTTGGATCCAGGGACAAGGATAGCTGATGAGCGATTCATGCTGAGGCTGGGACTGTCATGACCGGGATTTGGAGAAAGAATTGTGGCCGACAGAGTGAGTAGCCAAGGCCAACTTCCTGTATGTGAATTCACGGCCGAGAGGAAGGAAAGGACTCAGATTGACCAAAAGCTTCCTTATTAAGTTGGTCTTTAAAAACAAAACCTTGTAGTTATAAAACTCCCAAAGCTAGGAAAGGTAAATAATATGCTTCAATTATATAGCCATCATGTTATGTATTATTACATCCCCCACTATAAACTACCTAACCATAGAACCACTCCTGTCACCTGTAACGAGTGGCCCTGTCAGCCCCTGCCAGGGCCAACAGGACAATGAAACGCAAGACAAGCGAGCGCCAAGTAGTCCGGCAGCGCCGTACTCAATAAAGAGACATGTTTAAACTTTAATGAGACGTCGCGAGAATAAAGAGTTGGGTTTGGTAGGCCTTACAGTTCGTATATGGGCAGAACCGCTGGACAAAAGGTACGGCGGGACAAGTCTTTCATACCCAATAAAAGGCAGTATAATTGCTGCGACGCGAGTCAATGCTGTTGTGGTATTATTACAACGCGCCATGCTGAGTGTCATTCGACGTCTATGACCCCGTCGGCAGTGCCGTTAATCGGTCTATATTGCCAAGTAAAGACATAAGCCTGCATGGGTAAGCATTCATCAACCTGGAGCGCTTGTTGAACCAGGTACCCGTGTATATAGTTCAACCGTCCACACCTCGGTTCTGCCATAGAATAGACAGTTATGCGTCCAATTGAATTTCCAGAAGTTATTTCTTCTTATTAGTGTTTTATCTATAGCATTTCATTCCTGATACATAACTATAGTCATGGAGACTATTGGCATAACGTCAAGTACTTAATTGCCCATCCTGTTCAAGTCCGACCCATCCGAGGTTGCGTATTAACCGTGTTAAAAACAGTTGGCATTATCATCCACACAGGCTAAGAAGGCGCCTCTAGTTAGTTCCTGGAAGCTATATATTCAACGAGCATGCCGCGTTGTTGACGCTCTGCATCTCCATCCTTAGAGACCTCGGCAGAAAGCAAATCCAGCTACTTTACTCCTTTACCACACTTTATTCAGAGATATTTTAGTCGCATAATGAAGGCCACTGTCGCTATCACCCTGACTGCAGGGCTTCCTGTTGCTCTAGCATCAGCTATACTGAATCCGAGGGTCATCGGACCTGACGAGCCCACAGATCGCTATAAATTCGTCGTTAGCATCCAGGATAGCAAAAAGGCACATTCGTGCGGAGGCATGTTACTGGACAGTACTACAGTCCTGACTGCCAGTCATTGCTTCCGCAACACTACCGATGCAGGGTTTATAGTGGCAGGAAAAACGGTATGGTCTTTTACTTCTTCTTCTTTTCTTACATCCTCTTCTTCTTCCTCCTAAGACGTCTCTCTGCTACATAGACTAATACCTCGACCCAATAGAACCTCGAGGGGACTGGGGGAGTGACGGTGAAGATTTCAACGCTTCAACGGCCTTTGCACAAACCATACAACTACCAACCCGCTTCAGCCAAGGACAGAATGAGCGACATTGGAATCATCAAGCTAGCTACTCCTATTGAGAAGAGCGATAACATTGAGTATGCGTCACTGCCAACATCCGACGCAGTCCCTGACGGGAGCGCGGAACTCACTGCTGTTGGCTGGTAAGACCTATCACTACACATAACCGCGATTGAGTGCCGGCAACTATCCATTTTGTAAAGAGAGATGGATGGCATGCTGGCATAGATTTGAGCCAGAATAAGCGCTAATATCAGCCTAGGGGACGCAATATTTCTTGGACAGGGACAAAAGGCGACGCTGTGTTTACAGTTGCGAATCGAGCAGAAGTCCTACTCGAGCAGCAGCCAATCAGTACATGTGAAAGCTCGCCTCTCGGCGATACAAGCACATTGATCTGTGCTGGCAAACCCGGAAAGACTGTTTGCTCGGGTGACAGCGGTGGTCCGCTGATTGACTCCAAGACTGGGGCAGTGGTTGGCCTCACGTCGATTTCTGAGCGCAACGACGATGGCAGCGCCTGCACAGGTGCTGGAATCTTTACAAGGGTCGGCAGCTATCTCGACTTCATCAACGAAAATCTCGGGGAGCGAGGCTTCACCGATGGCGACAACCAGAGAGTCAAAGACGAGGCAAAGCTGGCGGTGCTCAGGCCGGGTCTCCTCGCGTCTTGCAAGAAGCACTTTCAAGTCAAATACAGTGCGTGCATGAATGAGGCCACAAGAGCCTTTTTTGCAGGTAAAGATACGGATAAATCGAAGGTCTATGATCAGGAGGAAGCCAAGTGCAAAGCCATCCACGCCATGGGGTCTGCTTGCGATGGATGCGTGCGTGAAGCAAAGCTTGACTCGACGGCTGAGACAATCATCCAGTGTTCTGAAGCAGGGAAGAACTGAGGCCACACGGTGAATCGGTGGCAGAGAGTATTGGTCAACCACACGGACACGGGGCTCCGAGGGCGGGGTTGTAGGACGATGCGCGGGCTCGAGGCAGCACTCGCCTTCTTCTGTAACGTGATTGTCTTCCATTGAGGGGCTGACAAAGATGGGCTACAAAATTCAAGATGTATGGCGCTATTCGCTCAGAAAAAGAAAATAGACTTTCTGATAAGAAATTGAAACAAGTATACAACGCAGCCCAGAGTGTCTTAGTGAAGGGCTATGGGAACTCGACGAAATAGAGCAAAACAAGGCTTGGTACTGCTTTCAACCCAGGTAAGTCAAACTGGAAAGCCGAGGCGATTTCATCACAATATGTCGCAAAATTTGACACTGGCAAAGGGTGGTAGATGCATGTCTACACTGACTGATCTCACGGGAGTGGAGGTAGTCAAACTGTTGTATAAATCAGTAACGGACGGCACAGAAGCGAGGGAACAATTCCCCATAAAATATAATATATCTATACTAATCCCTAGCATAAACTCTAGGGTTATTTAGCGTTCATGTATTTAAAGAGGGTCATTTTCTTTTAGGAATTATTCTTTATTATGGTCTCAGGTATATCGGTTTGTATCTGACGAGTCCGAAGCGGTTCGACCCCGCCCCCAGCAAGCGTGTAGTTTCGTGTCTAAGCTTCATGCATCTAAGCAGAGCTGTTCTCGATTTTTTTTTTAAACACTCTTAGTTCTTGGCGATCTCCTTGTGGGCATCAGCCTTGGCGTTGTGGCCGCTCTCGTCGAGCTTGTCGCCGACGGCATCCTTGGCAGCACCGAGACTGTGAGTCAATGTTAGCAGACTTGTTCTATTGATGGGAAGAGAGTAGCAAAGGTGGTCACATACCGGGTGCCAACGCTGGCGTTGCTGTCCTTGGCAACCTGCTTGTTGGTCTCCTTGGAGGCACCAGAGACGGCGCCCTGGACGGTCTCGGAGACGTAGTTAACGGCTTGCTTGGCGGTCTCCATTGTGAAGGTATGAAGTTGGTAACTTGAAAGTTGAGAGTAGAGGAAGATTGTGTATGGAAGTTGTTTGAGAGTGTGATGGGGAGGAAGAAGGGATAGTTTAGATGTAGGGGGGAGATGGGGATTATATAGACTTTCCGGAACACGTAACTTGGCAGGAGAGAATAGCCAATTACACACATCTCACATGCTGCCGCTCCTGCTCTCTTCCGTTTATTGGGGAGAGTGAAGCTAGCCGAAGTGCTGTGGCTTGCGCAAGCTCCTATCCACCGCAGAGTCCAGCCTGTCTGTTTACGGTTCCGTGCCTGCCTCTAGTGATGCGATACAAGGATGACCAGTGAGAAGAAGAGCATGCATGTATGCATGTCAACAGGAGCACATAAACTACGTCACATTGGAGCCCCTCCAAGTGTGGCGGATGCTCATATTCGCGCTAAACGGGTGGCTTGTTACTGGGCGGTTGCTTCCGACCCAGCCACACTATCATCCACTATGACGCCATTGACTTTTCCCCACACCATCAGCCACGATGCGTACCTAGCAACCTAGGTACGAATCACGAATCATGGCCAACAGAGTATCGTTAACATCGCTAACTGCCATCTGCCATAGGTAGCAAAATATGACATCAGCATCTACCGAACCCTGTTCATTCCCACTCTCCAACTTGTATTTCCTGGAACTCATGGTCATCTACTTTCACATTCACCCAGCACTCATTCACTTCTCAATGATTCAAGGACGGGCTCATGGCACAAAATCCCCCCGGGCGGGGTCATGCGTCAAAGTGCCGCCATTGCCAGTTTCCCCGTTCTCACAGCAGAATCGGCGATCCAGACAACTCAGTACCACTTCGCATCATCGTGTTGGCTGGTTGAGCCACAGGGTCCCGCCTCGAGCCACAGTTACACCTCGTCTGCAGGGGACCTTAACGCTGCAAAACCCGGTTTTAAGCCACGCTTACCTGCATCACGCCTGTGGCTAGTGCTCTCGAGCTCACCATAGACCGTTCTCGACCCGTCGTTGGAATTCTATTCGCGTTGAATGATATACTGGAAAGCTAGAGAACTCCATAGTTTCTTCCGTTGTGGCTTGCATTAACGGTGCCTTGGTTTTGTCCTGGGCTCACGGCAATCTGCGGCTGTACGACATGTGGTTTCTAATGGATCTGGCTAGATATTCGGCGTTGCCTGGCTTGACATCAAAACGCGTCATTGATGTCCTATTCTCTCATCACGCTATACTTTCTTGTTGGCTACTTTGACCAAGCCTGTGGACGTAGCTGGCCACAACCCTCACGCTCACACGCTCACGCGCTCACACTCACCAGCCACAGATATTCCTGGCTTTATATTTGCCCATCATATGCATCTATCTTAAGACATACTTTAGCATATTTTACTATCGATTTACCAAAATTGGACTTGCGGCTACACCTGTCTAATTTCAGGGACTGCCGTCATCGCTCCACACATCCCCAGCGGTCAACGGCGCAGTGTTTTTACCCTGCAGATAAATGACGTAGTAGCAAACAAGTGTGATAAATTAAGAGATGTGTGCATTGGAGAAGTCGGCATCTTGCTTGTGAAAATGGAGATTGCAACTGTACATGGAAATTAACTAATAAATCCAGAGTGGTGAGACAATGCCGCCAGCACAGGTAGTTAGCAGCTTACGAGTACAAAGCTGGTAGCTCGTGCTACACTTGCAATTACACCAGAACATCACTCACATGTCCTTTCCCAGGCCCACCCCTCCGACTTATGAATTTCTTTCAGAAACTCGACGCAGCGGGCCCAGTAGGCCTCTTTTAACTCCTTTTTGATAATTATATCCGGCACTGTCCATAGTTTAGTGAAGGCAAGATCAAAGGACAAGGACTTACACTCAAGCCAGCCGTGAAAGCCTTCCGATGCAAGCATGGTTTCAACACGAGGTTTGCCTGTCCAGCCCGCGCGCTCGTCTTCTTCATTAATCCGCTTAGCAAAATGTGTCTGCTCCTCGAGAAGAATATCGATCCCCGCGATAACCATCAGCATGCGGTTTGGCAGTGTTTCTCTCTTTGCGAGAAGCGGGCTTAGTCGAGGGTCATCAATATGCCGGGCCCGGGCTGGGGCGGCATATGAATCAAACAACGGCTGCAGGAAGGAAGTCGGATCGCTCTTTGGCATCTTTTCTGGGGCGGGCTTCTGCCAGGGGGAAAGCCTTAGCTCATAGACGCCGTATGAGGTGATGATGCCCTTGTAGGCTGTAGGGGATACTCCGTGGCAGCTTGGTTGCTGCGTCGATGCGACGGCCATGTTCCCCCCAGCAGATGAGCCAGATATTGTCAAGAGGGTCGGATCTGCTCCCCATCGACTTTCTGCGTTGTCTTTAATCCACTGCACCGTGGCGTCGACGTCGTCGATGGCTGCCGGAAACACATGCTCAGGAGCAAACCGATGCGTGATGCCAAGCACAATGGCGCCCGTTTCATTCGCCCACATCTCGCATATGCGGGCATCCTGCTCGGCCAGGCCGCCAATAAAGGCGCCTCCATGGATGTCGATGTGCAACGGACGCAGCTTGCGGCCACTCCCTTTTCCCTTGCCTTTGAACACTAGCGTACGAACAGATCGATTGGCGAAGACAGGCAGATATTCGGTCACGAATGGGCGCGAGAAAAGATAGGGCGCCACCGGAATTGTATATGTTAAAAAGACAAACTGCTGAAGCACCAGCACCCGCCACCTCATGCTCCAGGAGATGCTGGTATTGAAGAGCCCGACAAGTAGAGGCCGAAAGAATATGCGAAGCCCATTAAATAGGTTGTATGTCATTATGAAACGAGAGAGCCGGTTGAGAAAGTGATGAAGGAGGTGAAATGGAAGAATTTACGCCAAGTGCGGCAATTGCACTGATGTGACTCCTAGCAAATCGGTACTGAGATGCGAGGCATCCTAGTCGTGCGGCTGAGCCTGGTCGTGCCCGGACAACCCCGACAGGGCATATACGGACACATGGAGAATTCTACTCCGGACAGACAACAGTAAGTTATTTCTGTCGAGATAATTAACTTTCTACCTTCTGTGCTACAAAATATATTCGGATCCCGATTCCATCGCAAGCACAAGGTCGGCGGCTGTGTAGTTTCGACCACTGGCAAACATTGTCGTCCGCGCTTGTCAGCACTTGTGTCACATCGCCTGAGGGAATCAATCGACCGCACAATCGCGCCTCGTCAGAAAATGAAGTCTGTTCTGTCGTGAGACTTGCGGAAGTTCCAGCAGAGAAAATGAAACATGAAGGGTCCATCACTGAATCATCACGTGCACGATGGGCAATGGCCTGTGCTGGATCGTGGCTCAACCCCACCAGGCGCTAACTGGCTCCAAGTTACCTAGCTTCGTTGATGGCCTACGCATTGTCTCGACTCAAGTAATTAACTACCCAGTTCTCATCACACATCTGGAGGAACACAACCCGGCGACCGAATCGGAAAGCATGGATCTGGCATACGACCACATTCAAGAGGAGGCCTTTCGCCGGGATACGCCCAAACCCGGCGAGCAGGCCTCGGAGCAACCTCCCGCCGCGTCCCTGAATGACGAGATTCAGGATGCCTACAAGGCCTTCTCTGCCAGCCCCTGGGGCGCCAAGATTGGCGGTTTCTTTGGCAGCATGGTGAAGCAGGTATGTATTTACAATAAGCAGTGCCCAGAGCGTTGGCAAGAGATTAGCCTACTGACCAACCCAGGGAGAATCCGTCTACAACCAAGCCTCCAAGGAGCTGGCCGAAGTGAGCGGAGACGCCACCAAGGGCTTGGCCGACCTGCGCGAAACAATCATCAGCCGAACCCGCGGCATGTCGATAAACGGCACCGGCGCGCAAGCAACCAGATCCGGCGCGGACGACGAGGGCACTCCCCCTGCAATCGGTGCCAGCACCGACTCGGAGACGTACCTGTCACGGCTACGGACCGAGGCCGCCAAGCGACTCAAGGACCTCCAGAGCGCCGAAGACGCCGCCGATGAGGCGCTCCTCCGCTTCGGCAGCAACGTGCGCGACTTCTTACGCGATGCCATCCAAGTGGCGCCTCCCGCCGAGGGCGCCGAGGACAGCACAGTGCTCTTTGAGAGCAAAGACGCCTCTGGCAAGCGCGTCATCCACACGTCCCGATTCGACGCGCAGCTTCATGTCATCCACACCTCGACCGACAGCTTCGCCAAGGACCCCGAAGGCGACGAATACAACAAGTTCACATCCGAGTTTGACGTGGAGAAGAAGACGGCTGACATTGCGTCGGACCTGGATAAGTACCCGGAGCTGCGCACCACGATGGAGAAGCTGGTGCCTGATCACATCTCATATGCCGACTTCTGGAAGCGCTACTACTTTCTTCGCCGGGGTATTGAAGATGCCGAGTCTCGTCGCAAAGAGCTCCTCAAAGGTACGAGAGTCCTCCTAGAAATACTGCACCGTGCTTGATATCTCCCTTTGCTAACACTATTTGTAGCTGCCGCTGCGGAAGACGAGGTCGGCTGGGACGACGATGAATCCGACGACGAGGGCACCGCGCCCAAGAAGCCCGCCTCTGTCGAGTCGTCCACCACCATCAATCCCAAAAAGGATGGTCTGCTCAAGCCCGAAGTGCGCAAGTCCAACGATGAGAAGTCGCAGGCTGATAGCGAGGCGAGCTACGACGTGGTTGGCGGCACCTCGGGCTTGCCCAGCCAAGCAGCGAGCAGCCCGAAGGAATCGAAGAAGGACGAAGACAGCGACGACGATTGGGAGTAAGAGCAGAGCGTGCGTGGTTCTAACCCGAACCTTTTCTTCAAGATGCTCCTATGAGCAACTGTTTCTTTTTCTGTGGCTTTTCTTTTGCGTGCTGGGATACCGATCTGCGGGCGTTTTGGGTGTCTTTGTGAACTTGGAAGTTGTTTCCATTTGCTTTTTCCTTTTGTTTTAGCTGACAAACGTAATCCTGTATCTATGCATTGGGTATCAATACTCGGAGACCCGTCTACTGGCATGAACTTTTGTCTCCAGTAGTCTATGAACCTTTTTTTCCAAGCCGCCCTCTCGGCCCCCCCTGCCCATCTACCTCTTCTTCTTCGTCACCATGGTGAAGCCGTCCTCGTCCACCTGGGGCTCCTCTTTCTCCTTTGGTGCCGGCGCGTCGCCCATGTCTACGTCGCTGCCGTCGTCGTCATCGTCGTCGCTGTCATCGTCGGGCTCCTCGTCGGTATCCTGGTTCGGGTCCTCGGCCTTTTGGAACAGCGGCGCGACCTTGCTCCCGCGGCTCTTCCCGAAGCGCTCGGCCAGGGCGTTGGTCTCGTCAAACTGGCCGGCGGCGCACTGCGTGCGCGCGCGGACAATCTGCTGCGCGACCTCGAGGGCCGAGTCGTCGTCGACGTTGACCTCGAACTCGTCCACCATGACCTGCAGCAGCACCGTCTCGACGTCTTCCGTGTCGGCCTCGTCGGGGCCCGCGTTGTTGCTCGAGGACGTGCTGCTGTCGGGCGGCCCGGCGGCGGCGGCGTCGGTGAATTCGGGAAAGAGCTCGACAATGGCGCCGGCGAACCAGTCGCGCTTCTCGGCCGAGTCGGGCCCGCCCCAGTGGTTGGCGACGGACAGCGTGAGCGCGGGCCACAGATGCAGCGCGTAGGCGACGGCTTGCTCAAAGTTGTGCTGGCGCGTGGCTGGATTCCGGGAAAAGCAAGCGAGAGAGGGTCGTGTTAGCGAACTTGGAGACACGGGCGAAAGGTGTCGTTGCGACGGGGTTACTTACAGGCCGGGGGCAGTTGTGAAGTGGAAGCCATGATTGCGACCGTCGGCTGTGAAGGTGTGCTTCGTGGTCGTATATCGGGCAAGTTTGCGGAGAGTTATCAGACTGAGAGCTTGGCTGTCACTCTTGTGCAAGATTTTTTTGCTCCCGCTCCCACTTTGGCGGGGTGGCGGAGGGGCATAATTGGTGGGGTGATGGGCGACAACGTTGAAAGCGGCGGGCCTTCTACATCGTGTAAGTGAGATATGGCGTAACGGTTCGTCTGTAGTACTCTATTGTGGAAATAGAAATTGTGGATATTTCAACTAAAAATTTCAATTCTACTTTCCGGTCCTACGTATTCTTAGAAAGCTGACTTTGCGAATGGCTCAACAGTGCAGATGAACTGCTGACTTCGCAAACAGGTACGTCTTGGTGATCCTGATAGTTGTGCAAATGTTCAATGGACAACTACCTATACTAGGTACAGTCCCATTTCAATCTTGCTAACGCGGACCTCTACAGCCCACCCCAGAGAAAACAGATCAACCGAGGAATAAATCCCATAGGCGACAGTGTTTTGGCGGCCTAAGTACTTGAGAAAGCTACTCCCCCGTAGAACCAAGCGTTTCTAAGACCGTACTATCTTTATATGTAGGTAGGTGACAAGCACCGCAGATTTGACGGCAAACTTGGTCTGTTGGTTTCGTTTCAGGACGGGCTACTTGGGACGTATGCCCTGAAGACTAGGTACCTAGGTAGGTAGGTAGTTGTACAGCGGGTTACGAGAGGTGGTAAAAGGGATGCTCGGGAGATGCATATGTACGATGGCGATTGGTGGGGGCAGTACGGATTCATGCCTAAAAAAACTCAGTATCGGATTTTAATGCAAGAACCTCCAAATGAACTCTTCTTTATCAGGTAGGTACCTATATCGGCCCGGACTGGGTAAAGTTAGCCATGACATCATAGCGCAGGCCACCAACAGCGCCGATGTACCCCAGGAAAGCGCTATAGATTCGACACGAACGCCCTGATGGCGCTAGTTGGCCCCTAGACATGAACTTCGCAGCCATTGCATCATGGTTTTCTCATGTCCTTCTCTCCAACTCATGGGCGGACAAAAAAGCAACAATGACAAAGCTCAGCACAACCTCAGTCTCGTTAGCCGTGACACCGACTGTCGTGGGGACCTTGTTTTCACATGTGAGTGGTGTCTGCATCACGTTCGTCAGGACTCAGGAGAAGCTTGACGCCAAGGAGCGCCGTGTGCTGCGCCCCGATTTGCTGCCCAAATCTTGTGGTGGGCGGGCTCATCCTGCCACCATTGATGGCGAATCGATTTTCTGGGATAGTATTTCATGCTGACGGTGCAACAATTGACTGTAGTATCTCAACAGGGAACCTCTCAAGGAGAAGCCGACCGCCCATCTCTCCTATGACGAGGGGCTCCGTTTGGTTCGAACATTCTTGCAGCATGCCTCTCGCCATACAGTCGAAGATTTGCAGGCATTCACCAGCCAATGGGTGCCCTCACCGCAATGGGTGAAGCTGGAAAATATAAAAATACCACAAGATCATCTGTCGCGATCCGCTGAATTGATCAACGAGGAGCTTGGCGAGGACGGCCGGGCCTTGGTTGGCGGCAGCTTGTGGTGGCAATGGCGCAGACCCAAGAAGCCCCTCGAGGCCGAGTGGATTGAGATGCGCGCCCATGCAAACGAGAGAAAGAAGACCGGTAACCCAGCACACCGTGTCATTCTGTACTTTCACGGCGGCGGCTACTACTTTGGCAGCGTGGACGAACACCGTTACCAGATGCAGCGCCATGCGCGCAAGCTAAAAGCCAGGGTGCTTGCCCCGAGATATCGTCTCGCGCCGCAGTTTCCCTTTCCCTGTGGCCTGCAAGACTGCTTAGCAGCCTATTTACACTTGCTATCGTCGCAGGACCCCAGCACCATCATCTTGGCAGGGGACTCTGCTGGTGGCGGCATGGCCATGGCAATCTTGCTAATTTTGCGCAACCAAGGATTACCGCTTCCAGCTGGTGCTATCCTCATAAGCCCCTGGGTAGACTTGACGCACTCTTTTAAGAGTATTGCCGGCGATGCTCCAATGGACTACATTCCTACAAACGGATTTCACCACAGGCCCTCGAAAGCATGGCCCCCTCCGAATGACGACGATATTGCCGAGATCAAGCGAGATGCGCATCATTTGAAGCGCGTGCGAACAGGCGCTTCTGGGGTTAAGGATGCAAAAGCCGAGACTACACCAGAATTCGAACACGAACCGGATGAGCGGCAGTACATTCACCTTGATATTGATGGAAAGCCCGTCACGGTCAAGGATCAAATTCAGGTACGTTGAAGCATCTAGTTTCATTGAACGCATCAGCTCTGACTTCATAACTCTAGCTTTACACTACCAACGCGCTTCTCACGCACCCTCTGGTCAGCCCAGTGCTCCAAGCTACGCTTGGTGGTCTTCCGCCATTACTCGTTATGGTTGGCGGCGGAGAGATCTTGCGTGACGAGCAAATCTATCTGGCTCATAAAGCTGCCAACCCACAGAAATATGCACCCCCTACGGAGGGATTATCAGCTCGAGAGAAGGAACAACTTGCCAAATTTAAGCCCACTGATGTGCAACTGCAAGTCTGGGATGACCTATGCCACGTTGCACCGACGTTGAGCTTTACCAAGCCGGCAAAGTTTATGTACCGGTCTATCGCGCAATTTGGAGCATGGCTGCTCGCAAGAGCTCAGCATCGCGGAATCGACATCATGGACGATGATCAGATCTCGGTCATTTCTTCCTCGGGCTCTGACACGCAAGTAGGCAATACTGCTGTTAAAGTGGAAAATATCCGCAAGGAAGAGAAGGCTCCTACAGCTGTATCTGGACATGTCGGCAAAGCTGGAGATCCCCTCCCACCTTTCAAGAACCACATGATTCGACAGCGCGTTACTCGTCACGGCGTTACGCTTCCATTGGCACCGGAGACGGAACTGGACGCATGCACCATGGAGCCGACCGAGGTTGGAGTATTTAAAGCCACAACAGCTAAGAAGTGGCTTGCAACTCGTCGCGAATATGATACTCGATACGCGTCTGCCAAGGCAAAGGTCCATAAGCAATTGGTGAGCGATCTTGCTATAGGCTTTCAGGACTTTGGGCCCGGAGAGGTTCCTCCACCGGCAGCTCTGGCGGGCAGACGCAAGCTCGAATCCCATATGGTTGAGACTAAGAGGAAGAGAAGCCTCGGCCTATCCCTCTGGTCGTTGTGGGGATCCAAACATGATGAGGAAACCATGGAGCGAGAACATCAAGTGGATGAGCAGCCACAAATTGAGATTGTGGAAGAAGACGGTGGCGGTCGCATTTCTCACCGGGAGCAGAACGGCCAACCGCATACGCAAGTGCAGGCTCCTGGTGATGTCACAAGTCGCAGCCGCTCCCGCCGCAAAACCGTCATCGACGAGCATCAGACAGACGGCGAGATCAGTGAAGATACGCCCGTTGCTCAATTGCTGCAGCAGCGACAAGAACAGGAAGCGTCCCAACCTGGTCTACTGAGCCCAAACTATATACCTGAGACTGGCGTAACTGGAAAGCGGCCGTTCATCAAGGGGTTGGCTCTGCCTTTTAGCCTGAATAAGGAAGCTGATACAGCCAGCATGGTGACTCTTCAGTCTCATGCCAGCCCCGGCAACGAAGCAAACAAGCAGCTTACCATTCCGCCGTACAGTCCCGCTGACGGCGAGGGGGGCTCTGTGAAGCAGGAAACTTCTCAAAGCAAGGTGCCAACACTATTGTTCGAGAATGCCGCCGCGAAATAACGTTTTCGGGGTTCGAGGTGATGGGACTAAAACTTGGAAGCAATAATTATAGTTCAGTTGCAGTCGGCGCACTGTTGCACAATACCACCAGAGTTGACTGGTTTATTTTCCTCGCCGTTATATATATCTTAAAACTTGATAGAAACTGTATTGTCCGTAATGTGGCTCAGATTGATACGTGATAGTGTACATCCGGGAGTGTATATGTACAGCCTAGTCGCAGTTCCCATGGCCTGCGCAGGTCTTTTGTTCTTCTTTCCTTCCGCGTTGTTCCCGGCGTAACATGGTCGTATGATTGGATTGCGCAGTGAGCGCAGCCTGTCGACTCGGCAAAGCGGTTCGTCACTTAATCCACACCGTTGTATCGCTTCCATTGCTCGACGTAAAAGTGAGGGTCGGACGCGCCCTTGGCCAGGCCCTTGTAATCACCAGACTCGGCGTAGATTTGTCGGCTCACAAAAGGGGTAAGCTGTGGAAGACAAATCTCGTTAGCGCGCTAAGATGCGAGACGAATTGACCTCGTCGAGGGACGAGGCATCGAGGGACCCGTCTTTCCTACCTTAAAGTCCTTGAGGTTCTGCGGCACGGCATAGGTGCGCACTTTGTTCCACTCAATGACGTATCCTCCGAATCTTGTGTGGCGACCCATGGAACCAGTCCGGTTTCCCTTGTAGAAGCCCTTGTTGACATCCTTGGTCGTCAGCTTCAGGTGACGGTAGAGTCCGACGTGCAGGGGTGATGTCGGCCTCATGTTGTCGTGTGTTGTGCGGCGATATGTTCCAGGGGCGTTTAGTGATGATTGTCAATGCTGTGTTGTAAGGGACAATGTTCGGGTGTGTGCACGCAGTGTCGCGTTGAGGAAATCTAGTCGTAGGAAAGATGATCGCGGGCTGTTGAGCGCATCTTGAAATTCCCTAACTGCGGTAGCGGACGAGGTCCCGGCGGCTGGCGTTGTTCCGGTTCCGAAAGACGGCTTGGATTTGGGTTCCTGACCCACCACTGTATCTCGCTGTAGCTACAGTGGGTATGCCTATGCTCTGTAAAAGACAATTGTTAGTAGAATCATTGTCGGACAAATAAATCCATAAAAGTTTAGAATTATCATTGCTTGGTCGAGCTTGGCATCTGCCGCAAACACAGTATATTTAGGCTCCTTATTACTTTGTAAGGGTTTCTAAAGGTACCTTTCCGGAACTACTAACCCACCAACATGGCAAGTGCATAAGCTAACTGGTCGACTGTCCCAGTACGGTATTCTGCTGTTCATCTCGCATTCTCGAAAGAGCTCCCAGCGCAAGTAGGCGCGCAAGGCAAAATGGACGGATATCCGCTGGGAAGTCTCGACCACAATGTACCGCTGCTCATTTTCTCGGGTCTGACATCGACATCCTCCGAGATCGAGCTCGACGCGAACCGAGGAGGGGAAGTGGCCCTCCTTCGCTCCGATCTGCCCCCTCTGAACAGCAAAGAGGCAGAGCTCCTGGCGCAGCATTTTGAGAATGTAGACAATGAAGGACAATCATGGAGAGCTGTTTCGCGAGAAGAGCCATACCGGCTCCGTGTCAAGACCGTGGGACGCGTGAGTCGCATTCACCTTGATGCTTGATGCTCGGCGCTAACTGTCAAAGACCTACGCTCTGCCACCAAAGCGCGCCTCCCTTCCAAAAGATGCCGAACCGACGAGACCGAACCCGATACTACGCTCGCCATTCTCACCTCTCAGCCCGTCGTCGACCTTGTATCCGGATGGGTTAATGAATGCACAGTGGATACAAAAGCACCAGGAAGTAGTGCCGAGTGTCTTTGCCTGCTGTTACTGCCTAACAAACGATCCGGCTTCTGCGACACTAGAAGATAATCGAATCAAGACGGATATAAACAAGATCAAAGCGGCACTGACAGAAATTGGTCATAAGACGCGACTGGCTGTCATTTTTGTGCAGCGTGAAGGGGACGGCAGCTCGCCGTCCATCACCGATCAAATCTCGGAGCGACTGGAAACTATTCGGAAGGGCACAGCCATGGACCCAAAAGCCATCTTTTATATACACCCGCAAGATTCGCCGACGGACCTGAAGCAGGTTGCTGACAGCATCCTGGCTAGTCTTTACGGGACCGCTATTGAATACTATAGAGACCTCGGTCGCCATGCGCGGAAGAAGCGATCCCGCGGCATCGTACCACAGCCAACAGTTCCGCCGACATCCGGCACATCCCAAACTCTCTCCATGCCTGACTGGAATTTCCGATACGATTTCAAAACCGCCATCTTTTCGGAATTCAGGCAAGAGTTTGACCCTGCTATCCGATCATTCGAGCAGTCATATGAGATCCTTCTAGGCCAGGATGTCATGGACACGATACCAAGTTGGAGTCCTCGCTGGAACGAGGCACGATTGCTTGCCGATATTATCTCAATACGCTGCCTGCGCCTGCATCTCTGGATGAACCAGCCGAGTCTGGCCGTGCGCCGCTGGCAGGCACATCGGGATCGCATTGGTGACTTGGTCGATCGCAGAGGAAAAGGAACGAACAACTACGGCTGGCAGGCTTGGGAAGCGCGCTGGGCTCTAGCCATGGCTCAGCTCACAGAAAGGGTGGAGCTGCCAGGCCTTGCGCCCTCAAGTATGAACCTCTATCTGCAGCCCGAAAAAGCTGTTCTTGGCGAGCGGCTACATCCTTGGGAGCTTCTGCACCACACGGGCTACTGGTATCGCATCGCCGCCCGCCACATTAGCGCACGTCGAACTCTTGCGCTCATGATACCAGAGGAGGATCGTGCGCCTCCGGACGAGTCAAAGACAAAAGACTCGCAGCATTACGACACATACCTATGCCCGCCACCTTATAAGGAGAACCCTATACAAGGGGATGGGGTAAACCATGCGCAGTTGATGATTGACTGTTTAATAGCGGCTCGCACTCAATTTCAAGGGCGAAAACAGCTGCGCTTAGCTGCCGAACTGTCTCTTGAGTGCGCCCGCGAAATGGCAAAGCTAGAAGATTGGCAAGATGTACTGGCAATGTTGCGACCTCTCTGGGAAGACTTGTCGTTTCGTAGTGAAAACTGGGTGGATATTTCAGAAGAACTGTGCTGGCTCATGCGTCAGGCTGCCGTTGCTTCTGGTCGCGGCGAGCTTGTGGTCGCCATCGACTGGGAACTTATCAACAAAAGTAAGTCAAAAGAGTTGATACTGTAAGATGGGAAGGAGCTGACGCAATCAGAGTTCACAAAACGTCCTCACTGGCATTACGACCTCAGCAAATGCCTTGATGGCATGAAACTAGAAGTAAAGCCTTCCGTAGATGTTTCTGACGGATCGGCAACTGGCTTTATTTCGACTTCGTTTGTATTTCGGAACAAGGAGAGTAGGGCAGGGGACTTTTGCCAAGCTCAACTGTCTCTAGCGTCCAATGCCATGCCTGGCTCCGCGCCTGTTACGCTGTCGAATGTACGAGTCGAGTTCGAGGGCAGCTTGAAACCGATAACGTTGGAGCATGCGCCGTCAGACGAGAAAGGCGCGGGTTGCCCAGTATCGATTCGCCTGGTGACATTGGACGAAGAATTCCTCGACGACTCCAACGACGATTTACCGACAAAGCTGAACGGCAGCTGCGACTTGACCCTGCAAGCGGGACAGCGCGTCGTCATTGAGATGGCGATTCCGCTGAGAGAGGCGGGCGACGTTGAGCCGTCGACAGTCACGCTCAACATGAACACCAAAACATTCGACTTGACCTCGAACTTGCCATTTCGAGACACGGATGCAGCTGTCGGATGGTTCATCCCTGGCTCGAGCAAGCCCCGCAAGGTCCGAGCCGATTCCAGAATGTTGACTATTCAACCGCGGCCACCAAAGCTGGATATCAAAATTGCTCGACAGTTGCAGCAATACTATGCAAACGAGCCAATCGCATTGAATGTTGTGCTAGAAAACAACGAGGACGAGGCGGCCACGACGAAGCTAGACATTCACGTGCTTGGGAAATTGATACCAAAACTTCACGTTGGAGCGGGTGGCAAAGATTATGCCACCGAGACCCGAGTCGAAGAAGAGGCTGAGCTTACTGGTATCAACCTGGGCAAGATCGAAAGTTCAGCATCACAAGAGATTGTCCTCGGAATCGAACCGATCGATGGCCCCATGACATATGAGCTACAATTAAGAGCAACTTACCATTTGGAGACGGATTCCGCTACGCCTATCATACAAGTGTCCACAGTACAACTAAACTTGGTGAACGCGTTTGAAGCAAATTACGATCTTGTGCCGAGACTGCACCCTGATCCATGGCCCAGCCTCTTCGACCCAGAAGGCTTAGACGATATTCATGAGGAGGACGGGAAGCAGCGGAGGCCTATCGGGCTCATTCAGCGATGGTGTCTCTTGTCGCATTACGCCTCGTTTGCACAAGAGGATGTTCGGGTCCTGGATACGGAGGTAGAGGTGACGGAAACCGTTGGCAGCGCACGATCTGTTGTGCGCAAGATGACAGAGATTACAGAGCCCGATGGTCTTTTGGTCGAACCAAAGACGATGCATGAAGCGCAGTTTGAAATTGAGGCGCAGAAAATGCAACTGGAAGACCGAAGCCCTGTTTCAATTGATCTGGCGTTCAAAATCAAGTGGCGGCGAGCGGACGCGGCGCCCGAAAGTCCAGCAAATACGACGACGCTGCCTGTCGGTCGCTACCTAGTACTAGGATCAGAGCCGCGCGTGCTGGCCACCACTTTCCACGGAGAGCCCGACGAGACGAGCACGATACAGCTCGATATTTCGATTGAGAACCCGTCGAACCATTTGCTCACGTTTGGGCTGACGATGGACCCGAGCGACGAATTTGCCTTTTCCGGGGCCAAGCAGACGACGCTGCACATGCTGCCCATGTCGCGGCGCACGGCCACGTACCGACTCTTGCCGTACCAGAGGGGCTGCTACATCCGGCCCGGCCTGGTGGTGCGAGACAAGTACTTTCAAAAGGTGCTCCGGATTATACCCACAGAAGGCATGAAGATTGACAAAGACGGACTTTTGGTGTGGGTTCCGGGGCTGGAGGAGGGGGAGGAGGGTGAGGTCGGTGAGGAGGCGGCGCAGCTGTAGATGAAGATGTACGTGATATTATTGGGGCATGAGGACGGCGTCTGCATAGATGGGTTTCTGCATAGATGAGGCTATAGGATATTTTGTACAAGTAACATACTCGAGACGAGCGAGAAGAATGTGAAAGTGACACAAGCAAGCTTGTTCCTTGGTACGCGCGAAGTAGACTAATAAGCTAGGTAAGAGATGACCATCGGCGCCAAGGCGGGCTGGCGCCGATGTGGGGCGCCGGTTGGCCTTGTTCAAGGGACGGCAAACTGACAGGACGCAGTATCCGAAACAATATCAATCAAGCTCTTGTCTCCGGAATGGACATGGCAAAGGGAGTATTCTTATGACTACTCTTTAAAGTCGAAGAAAATGGTACTCATCGTAATGGTGGTTGCTGGACACAAGTTGCACTGTTGTAGATGACATTGATCAACAGGACCTACATCAGGCGCGACCTTTGCACAGCCAATCTATTTCTTCTTGGCAGGGGTTCTGACGATCAGCTCATTTCGAACTCCGTCCATCACAACTAGATCTTTCGCCCCAAGTCGATTGATTCCAAAAGAGCCCGCCCGGATCTGGCCCCACATAAACGTCGGACATCGGTACACTTCATGTCCGGCGGGCCTTGTGGCTATTTTGGTCTCGGGGGATGCACGTAACGTGGTTTGGGAGCCTTGCTGGTGTTCCCCGTGGAGGGCCTGTGGTCAGGGCTGCCGATGCCGTGTGCGTTGGCAAGACTACAGAGGTTTCGTTCGTTTGCACGTCGGACGCCGAAGCAATGGGACTGCTGGCATTCGATCGCAATTCGTAGGGTATGTAGAAGACCAATTAAAAGTTGTTTTGTTGCAACACTGCAGCCGTCGCAGCTCCTTGAGAAAAAAAAGCGAATATTCTGCGCATTTTGCTTACTTTTGACGCTTTCGGTTGTGAAACATCAAAGCGCACCGCGATCGAATCTCATCACTTGTATCAGATTTAATACGACCCTGCGTCTCGGGTGATGCTGTACGGCTTGGCTCAGCTACTATACGAGTTGGCATCCCGCTCAGTCTCTCTCAGCTCGTAAGCAAATCAACATATAATACGGATAGTTTCCTTGTAACTAGTTTGGTTCTGTTCGTCAACTTTATTGAATGTTCCACTTTCCAGGACGAACCCCCCCCCCCCCCCCCAAATTTGGCCCGCTCGGCTTCATCCACACCCAAACTCGTTGCAGGTGACGGCGGTGGAGCTGAGCTGGAAGCAAGTTACAAGCGCAACGAGACGGCGGCGCTAACTAGCACAAGGCCGAGAAACGATGGGCTTAGTTCATCTGTCGGCCATCGGCACCATGGCTGTCCGGGCGTAGAAGCGGCCAGGGATTGATTGGGATTGTCGCGGGCGTGCATGGGCGGTGGAAAAGCCCGTGCAGCTGCTGGTTAGTAGTCGCCACACCTGAAACCATTCATGCCAGTCTTTTTTGTATAGTTCTTTATTTGACATCATTTCTCTAACCCGTTGCTCGGATGAATAAGTTTTGGCTTCCAGTACTATACCTTTCGGTTCCCTTTTGACAAAGCCGGTTCGGCAACTTCATCCACCTCTTCGAGTAGTAAGCCGACTCGTGACCTGTTACTACAAGAACGAAATAGCAACGAGTGCTCTCTTTTTTTTTTCCTTTTTTTTTGCGGTCTTGCTCCTTTCGTCTTGCCATTGAAGAACGAAAAAAAAAGAATGGCGACGACGACGACGACGGATACGGTCGAGTCGCGACCGTCGTCGGAAAAGACAACGCTCGACGACGACCCAGCCATGGCTCACACGACCGGAGAGAAGCAGCAGCCGGCGCCGGCGGTGCAAGACGCAAGCGAAACGAAGCAGCAGCCCGAGGCGGCGACGACGACGACGACGATGCAGCCCTGGACAGAGCCCGAGTACCCCGGCGCGGTCAAGCTCTCGCTGACCATGTTTGCGCTGTGCGTCTCCATCTTTCTCGTCGCGCTGGACCAGACCATCATCGCGCCGGCCCTCGGTGCGATTACAACCCAATTCAGCAGCACCAAAGACATTGTACGTTTTGCCCGTTGCGCCATGACACAAACCGACGAAAAAGCTCGTTAACAACTCCCGGTCTTTTGGGTTAGGGCTGGTATGGATCTTGCTATCTCCTCACCTCGACTTGTCTGCAGCCCGTCTACGGCGCCATCTACCGCATGTTCAATGTCAAGTGGACCTTTCTCGCGGCAATCTTCATCTTTGAGGTCGGCAGCCTGCTGTGCGCCGTCGCCCCGTCCTCGGTCGCCTTCATCGTCGGCCGCGCCATTGCCGGCATGGGCACCGCCGGTCTGTTTTCCGGCGCCGTCGTGATTCTCTCCTACACCCGTCCGTTCCCCCCTTCCAACCCGATAGTAGAACCAACCTCATGCTAATCATCCGTAATCCAGTGCCTCTTGCCAAGCGCCCTCTTGCCTTTGGCATCATCGGCGGCATGTGGGGCATCGCTTCGGTCGCCGGCCCGCTGCTCGGCGGCGCCTTCACCGACCACGTCAGCTGGCGCTGGTGCTTCTACATCAACCTGCCCGTCGGCGGCGTCGCCATGGGCATCGTCGGGTGCGTCGTGCACATCAAGCGCAACACGCGGTACTCGGCCGGCCTCTCGATCGGACAGCGCATCCTCAAGCTCGACCTCGTTGGCACCGCCATCTTCGTCCCCGGCATCGTCTGCCTGCTGCTGGCCCTTCAGTGGGGCGGCGCCAGTTATCCGTGGAACAACTCGCGCATCATCGGCCTGTTTGTGGGTGCCGGCGCCCTGCTCGCCGTCTTCGTCGTGGTGCAGTGGTGGCGCGCCGACCAGGGCACGTTCCCGCCCTTTCTGTTCAAGAGTCGGAGCATCGTGGCCGCCATGGCCTTTTGCTTCTTCTTCGGTGCTGCCTTTATCCCGTTGATCTTCTATCTCTGTACGTCCGCGGGCAGCCCAACACTGACGTGGATTGCCGCTAATCACAGGACCAGCTCTCTACTTTCAAGCCGTCCAGGGCGTGAGTGCCATCCAGGCCGGCATCAAGATTCTTCCTCTTCTGCTTGCCACCGTCATCTGCTCTGTTGCCTCGGGCGCTCTGGTCTCCATCCTCGGTGTGTATAAATATGTCATTGCGCCTTGCATGGCGCTGTTCGCTATCGGCGCCGGCCTCATCACCACCTTGGACGTCCACACCCCTCTTCGCGAGTGGTTTGGCTACCAGGTTGTCGCCGGTCTCGGCATTGGTGCCGGCTTTCAAGTCGGCCCCGTTGTTGTCCAGACTGTCCTACCTCAAGAATGGATCCCTGTCGGAACCGCCTGCGTGCAATTCTTTCAAAGCTTGGGAGGAGCCGTCTTCATCGCCGTTGCGCAGACTGTCTTCCAGAATGGCCTCATTGACGGCATCGAGACCACCAATCTTGGTATCAACCCCCACATCTTTATCAACAGCGGTGTCTCGCAAGCCAGAAATATCCTCGCCCAGATGCATCGAGAGGATGCTCTCCCGCTCATCCTCAAGGCATACATGAAGGGTCTGCGCAACACGTACTACACTACGCTGGCCTGTGCCATCTGCGCGTTCCTCTCCGTGTTGGCTCTCGAGAAGAAGTCAGTCAAGAAGAATGAGCAGAAGGCGGTGGATGTCGAGACAACTGCGACTTAGCTTGACCTTGAAGATGACTCGACTCATGGCGTTGTTAGCTTCAGCCCTTGGTATCATTTGGGTTATTTTAATTCTTAGAGAGGGCGGACTTGATAGACTAACTGGATATAACTACTCTGCACATAAATACATGAGCCAAGATTCTCCATGAAATCTCTCCATGAATCGTTGGGAAGCTCAGTTATTGAGTGTCTTGAGGTGGTCGATCCCAAACATTCCGGTTGTTGAGGCTCTTGATTTCGGGATCGGTGCCGACGTATTGTATGATCCAATCCCGGACAGCCCTTGTTTTCACAACTTGCGGATTCTCGGCGCCTTCCTTTGCAGTACAAGCGGCCAGCGCTCTGGAACTGTAGCAAGCATTTCCCTCCTTCCTCTTGCTCCAGAGTAGATGCACCCTTGTCTGCCCGCGTCGCAAGCTCTGGCCGTAGACCTTTCCGCGAAACACATGCAGCGCGACATTTTGCAGCAAAACCACATCCTGCCGGCGCAAGCTGAGCAAATCGCTCCCCGCCACTGCCTCGCCCGACAGCCAAAACGTGACTGCGAATCCCGAGCGTGTATCGTCGCCCAGAAGCACTTCGACGAGCGAGAGCGTTGTGCCCCACCGGGTGGTGACGGAGCGCGGTTGCGAGATGGAAAGTATGCCGGCAATTATGTTGAGCGTAATGGTTTGTGGCTGGAGGGAGAGGACCTGCTTCGCAGATGGTACGTCTTCCAGATCGGAGAGATGGGCCGGCGGGATGTTGGGTGCCGGCGGCCGATGACCACGAGCCCCGTGGGAACCCGTCGAGCTGGACAAGAAAGATGTTTCGTCAAAGAAAGTGGTCGTCATGTCCTCGTCTTCATTTCCCAGCGGAGAACAAGTTAACGAGGTATGGATTGCGAGTGACTTCTCACAGAACTCGGTGAGTTCTGCCTCGTCCTGTTCGACCCTTGTGGCATCGCACCCATCATACGACGACGCCAGGGAGGAAGGGGAGAAGAAGTCATTGTGCTGATGATGGCCGTGGAAAGAGTTGACGAGAAAACTGTACGATTGGGTGAGCCCTGTATGAAGCGGTTTTCGATGCAATGGGATGGACCGCCATGGCGCAATGCTTGGCGAGGACTTGTGATGGCGCTCGTGGCCAAAATTTCCAGCTTCTATCAATTCGTGAAACGGTTCATCGAAATACTGAACAGTGTATGCGTCTTCTTGATCCAGATCAGACGGCGACGGTGCACCCGTTAGCAGGATAATTCGCCGAGGCATCGACTCTCAGTTCCCTTCATTCACGGCAAACCGAAGCAGGAGGGAACAACGCTGCTGCACGCTATTCGTTCCAGCGCAACGCGCCGAGTTGTGCTGGCGACATGCGATGCTGGATTGGGTACGCCTCTTGGAAAAAATGGTGTGCTGCTACGATGCAAAGTTGAACATGGCAGGATAATGGCAACGTGGCAGAAGCCGGTTGATGGTTGTTTCTGGGACAAGTAGCGTGAAGGCTGGCGTGGTCCAGGTGCAACTCTAGGGTAGCTGCCAACGTTGCACGCTCAAGCCAGCCTTGACATCAGCACTGGACTTCACTTAATCGCGCCAGTACACAGCACAGGTGACGGTATCACCATTTCATCTCAACTTTTCGAAATTGATTGCTCTTGAATCATTCAGCTATTATCCCTATTTTACAAAAGCGGTATTTTGACACCAAGTACACGTTCAGCCGCTCCAGCGCACTTTCTCTTCAGCCAACGTCCTGTACAATCCCAGCGACAGAAACTCCTCTTCCGCAATATACCCGCCAAACAGATCGTCCAGCTCGCCATCAAACATCTTGGCCGCCCAGGTTTTATCCGACACGGACCAGTCGGCGACCGGTTCGTCCAGAAGCGTCTCATAGAACTCGCGCATGGCGCCGCTCCGCTCCTCGGTCGTGCCCATGTAGGTGCTAAAGGACATGAACTGCGGATTGCCGTCCGCCGTGCTCGTCATAAAGTCCGGCACGTCACCGTCACTATCCTCGTCCCCGTCTTGGAGTCGCTTTGAGTCCCCGCGCCCCATTCTGCGCTTCTGTCTCTTCGCGCTGAGCCGGGCGGCAAACTGCTTGCTCGCGTGGCGGTAGTTTTCCGACACAGTCGCATTGAGCTGCTTCAGGGCATCCTTCATGGGAGGCAGGGGCTTTTGGTCCTCCTGGAGATCGTGCTTGGGCAGCTGGATGAACTGCGCAAAAGCAGGCGCCGGATTGGCCAGGCCGAGGCCCCCGTCCTCGACGCCCATGTACAAGAAACAGTCTGGTACTTGTTCTCCGTCGGGGCCGCCAAAACGCACCTGGATCGTCTTGCGCACATGCTGAGCGACGTTTCCTGCCGACTCGTCGCCACCATCACTCCGATAGAGATACTTTTGCGCGTGCTGCAGCGCTTCCAGCACCATGACGGGGTGGTCGTCGCCCAGCCCGACAATGACGGGGCCGAAATTGTTTGGCAAAAAGTTCTTCATGTAGGCGTTGTACGCTTGCACGTGCGACAGGACAGAGGTGCGTGACTTGAGCTGAAAGCGCAGCTCGTCCATGTGAGCTTCAATCGCCGCCGTGCTCGCCGTCCACTTCCACTCGGCATCGTCAAACAGCAGAAAGCCCCATTTCACTTTGCCTGTGGGAAGGCGAGCCAGCTCCTGCTTCTCAGCAGGTTTGAATCGTGGGTTGGACTCGTCCACGGCGTGAGCAAAGGCCGTCTTGTCCTTGTTCAGCTGCAGCCCCATGACCTGGGTGAATTCGCGCATCGTGTCCCACGCGGCCGCGCACTGCGATGGCTGACCCCAGAACCATAGATCATCGTGGTTACGGTAGAGGTGTGATCCGCCCGTTCTCTGATTGACGGCAAAGTCTAGGACAAAGAGGAGCAGTTCCGAGATGCCGTCGGTAAGCTGGAAAGACACTGGAATCCCGGTCTTGCGCGTGAGCACTGCTCCGTCGGCGCCATCGTCTTGAAATTGTATGTGCATGTCGAGGAACGCTTTTGTGAATTGGACAAGCTCCTTGGGAAAGTGGAAGTACTCCATAATTGTGGTGAGAGTTGAATGGGGAAGAGAAGGCCCAAACCACTCAAAGTCGCTCTGCAGCAGGCAAAACTGCCCATGGACGATTTTCTGCATGCCCATCTCGGCGGTGCAGACGCGGAGAATGTCCGTCTTCAGGTTGACAACATTCGGCCGACCGTTTTCCAGATCTGTCAAGTTTTTCTGAACTTGCTCCTCGCTGGCAAGCGAGTCATCGTCCTCATAGCGTCCAACTCCGCTATTCTCATCCGTCATACTGGTGGGCAGTCGGGGCGAAAAGAAGATGTTCTTGTACATGTGGTTTCGTAGTTGCCTGGTCGAGTTCTCCGCGTTCTGGATCGCAAAACCGGGAATGTGCGCATTGATTGCGGCCGTGCGATCTTCGTCTTGCTTGACTTTCCAGACGTCGGCCACGGTCGGGTCCCATGCTTGTTCGAGCGCCTGTTTGATGTGCACCGAGACGGCCTGCCCTACGCAGTGAATCAAGATGGAGTCGAGCAGTTCAATATCCATGTACACGCGGTACTTGCCATTGATTGCCTTGCGCATCTGCGCCTTGATGGGAGCGTCGCCCCAGGACCACCGCTCCATGGCGGCGAGTTTCAAGTCAATGTTCAAGATGTCGGCAATCTCGCTGAGAACGTTTTCTCTGTTGCCAAGGTCGATCATGGCCCGGCGCTTCTCGCTGGTGAGCTGGTCGGCGCTGAGGATCGCTTTGATGGCGGCCTTGACTATGGCCACGCTGACGTGGATGGCGCCTTTGCAGTTGTGGAAGATGGAGCTGCGCATCTTTTGCAGCAGTCTTGTCCGCAAGTCTGCCAGCTCCTCGATGGAGCTGCCCTCGTTGTTGCGAAGCGGATCAGCGTGGAAAAGAGTGTCTAGAAATTCCACAATCTTGTCCTTGTCACTTGTGCGAAGATTGGTGACCAAGCCTTCCCAGACTTGCCTCTGCTGATGCATTTCTTTCCGGCCGACAGACACGGCATCTTCATCCTCCGACTGGCTCGTGCCCTGTTTCGCGGACGCCATCGTGGTCGAAAGCTCGCCAAAGCGAAAGTCGGCCCATTCATTCGTCAATTTTCCAAACAGCATGGTGTATTCCATGCGACGCTGGGATTGGCGCAGATAGGCCAGCAGTTCATCGCACCAGGACAGGGCCGCTGACGAAGAAAAGCCCGACGAGTACTTTGCGTTGGAGAGCATCCGCTCAATCGTGTCGAGCCGCGTCTCGAGAGACTCCGAATTCTTGCCCGAGTTTGTCATGCTACGTTTGACCCTGAGACCAGCACGGGTTCTGACCTGCATGCCAAGCGCTCCCGCATACGCCTTTCGAACGGCCGTGACCAGTCGGGCCACATCTGCCTCGAGATGGTGTTGATCAGGATTGTCTGGCTTGTATGCTAGGCTCGTTTCTGCATCGCGCACGTGGCCCTTGATGTCCTTTAAACGAGCCTCTGCCTTGTCCCATTTGTTTGTTGTGACATGTTTCATGGTGGACAGGATGGCAGCGGAGGAGGAAGCGGCCGTCGCCATGGTTGCGGTAGAGAAGGTTGACTGGAGGTGATAATTGGTCGGTGAAACTCGAATTCCTCTAGCAGCTTTGAAAACTGCTATGAAGGCTGACCTGTACCAGAAATGTACCGGCGACTTTGCCATCTTTATATACGGTGTACAATCACGGCCGTCGCTCCTGTCAAAATCAGAATCCTTCCTTCATTTCCCCTTTCCACCCCATGCACAGGTCCACCAATGGCAAGGTCGCGGCGTTGACTCACGCGGCAATAGCACAGCCTCGCTGGCCGTCGCCTGAAATCCTATTGGCCAATATTGTTGACATGTCACGGCCGCAATAGGCCTCGCCGGTTGTTTGTTGTTCGGCTGTCGTCGCCGAAACGGAGAACTGGCGCGATTCATTGTGAGGACGGAAGACGGTTTAGGTCACTGATTGCCAAGGCTGCACGGCCTGCCAGTTGAAATCCCATCGCCTCGCCGTCAAGAATCCGGCTCCTTTAGCTTTCATCGAAAACCAGGCCACAGCCCCCAATACCAGTTGGCAACGGAAACGAGTCAATAATCTACGACGCAATCGGATCTCATTCTGATGAAAATGTTGACAAAGAAGCGATGAAATGGAGCAGCCTTCCCGGGGAACTTACCCACATCCCGCCCCCAGCCTGACGTTAGTAGCCGAGGCTAAGTAGCCGCCCTAGCTGACGACCAAGTCGCCTCATACTCGACCGACAGCTCCTCGAATTCTCAAACACATTCATCCAAACAATCCAACCCTGGCAGACGTGCCAGTGAGGCCTCTCTCAGTTGCCTCCCCTTTACCAGCTATCCCCCAGCACAACAGAGAGCCAACGTTTTCGCGCCCGTGCCGCAGCACCCGGCGCGACTCCCAAGTGACCATGGCTTCCGCCGTCTTTGACATCCAGCAGCATGTCATCCCCGGCGAGCACACGCGCGAGTATGCGCGTTCCAAGGCCAACTCTCAAGAGGAGACGCTGTTCATCCAGGTGAAGCAATATACTCCCAAAGGCAACGGCGCGCCCCAAAAGGGCGACCTCAACATCATCGGCGCGCACGCCAATGGCTTCCCCAAGGTACAGTCATTGACACTTCACACTTCCTCTTGTCTTATGATTTGAGATTAACGCGAACCAAGGAACTATACGAGCCTCTGTGGGAAGATTTGGTCAAGAACCTTGCAAACAAGGGTGTCCGAGTCGGCTCAATCTGGATAGCAGACTGCGCCTGGCAGGGACAGAGCGGCATCGTGAACAAAGACACACTTGGTAATGACCGTACGTTGCGCCCCCCTTCCCCCATCAATGACAAGACTGACACGACGAAAATAGCCAGCTGGTTCGACTACTCTCGGGACATGCTCCAGATGATCAACCACTTCCGCATGCCGCGCCCGCTCGTCGGCATCGGCCACTCCTTTGGCGCCTGCGCCATCGTCAAGCTCGCCCTCTTCCACCCGCGCCTCTTCAGCTCGCTCGTGCTCGTCGACGCCGTCATCGCCACGCACCACCCATCGCACGTCGACGGGTACATGCAGCCGCCGTCCATGAGCGCGCGCCGCCGCGACGTCTGGCCGAGCCGCGCCGCCGCCGCCGCCGCCTTCCAGAAGAGCCCCTTTTACCAGAGCTGGGACCCGCGCGTCTTTGCCCGGTGGGTGGCGCACGGCCTGACGCAGCCCGACCCCGCGCTCCCAGACGTCACCCTCACCACCACCAAGCACCAGGAGGTCTTTACCTTTATGCGCCCGAGCCACGACGCCCTCACCCCCGACGGCGCCGCCGTCGCCGACCCCGACCTCGTGCCCGACATGGACTGCACCCACGGCGTCATGGCCCCCATCTACCGCCCCGAGCCGGGCCTCGTGTTCGACGAGCTGCCGCATCTGCGGCCCAACGTGCTCTGGGTCTTTGGTGGCTCTAGTTACATGTCGCTCGAGGCCATGCGCGAGGAAAAGGTGAGCGCCACGGGCGTCGGCGTCGGCGGCAGCGGCGGCGTCGCGGCCGGTCGCGTCACGCAAGTCGTCGGGGAGGGCTGGGGCCACCTCATCCCGCTCGAGGCGCCGGGGTTCGTCGCCGAGGCCGCTGCCGCCAGCGTCGCCGAGACGGTGAGGCGCTGGCAGCGCGAGGAGCGCACGTACGAGGTTTGGACCGCGAAGCCGCTGGCGGAAAAGTCGAGGATCCGCCAGGAGACGCTCGACGCCATGACCAAGGCCATGGCAAAGATTTAAAGGCTGGCTTTGGCGTGCCGACTTGCATTGTACAGAGTCATGGCGTACAGGTTTTGATAGTCGAAAAAGGCCCGACGGCATGTCACGAAGCAAGCAAGGGTGCTCATAGTTTAATAAACAGAAAAATTCAACCATGCAATCCAATGCTGTACTAACTAACTAGAACAAAAATGCAAGTACAATCTTCTTCGGCAGAGCTCCCGGACGCAAAAAAAATCGTTTCAAATTGGCCAAAACGTACTCACAGGTAAATGAACAGATGGAAATCTTCCAAAATAATGAGAGATGCGCTTTCCAACGGGATGGATGCGCATTACATGTAGAACATGGTGTCTCGGAGGTTCTGGTGAATCTCGCGCGCCTGCGCCGGCCCGTGCATGCTCGACACGGAGCCCGACATCTCGCTGACATCATCCGCGCCGGCATACTCGGGGCGATGCGCCCGCGCCCGCTCACACACGAGATCCGCATAGTACGCCGGCGGGCAGATGCTGACCGCCATCGTCGCCCGGCCAAACAGGTAGCACAGCTCGTGCGTCAGCTTCTCGAGCTCATTGGCCGCGCCGAGTTTGTAGCGTGGCCGAAAGATTTCGTCGAGCAGCACGGAATAGTGCGCCGGACGCGCCGTGCCCTTGAGCGCGTGGTGCGCAGTCAGGTAAAAGTCCCAGTAGCGCGCCTGCGTCACACCGCGGTCGACGACGGTGCCGTTTTTAATGTTGCTCGAGCCGCTCAGGTTGGCCTCGTCGGCGGGGTAGAAGCGCGTTTGGTGCCGCTTGACCGACACAATCATGGTCAGCTTGGGCGGATCCTGCGGAAACTTCTTCTCGGCCGCCTTGCGGATCGACGGCAGTTCGTCTTTGAGGACAGTGGCAAATTGGCTCTCGGAAACGCCATCGCGGTAGATGATAATGTTCTCAAGGGGTTTGCCTCCATTCTTCTTTCGCCAGAGATCGATGCGGGACGCAAAGTGGTGCTCCAGCGCGGGGCCGAGGATCTCTTGCTTGGAGTTCTGCTCCCAGGTGACGGACGGCCACTGCCCAAGGTCGTTGTCGATGCTCGAGACTAGACCGACCAGACTGGGGGGGATAACGCCGCTTTTGGGGACTTCCATGTTAGTAGGGTGCGTCACATCGTAGCCTACAAACATGGTGGTCCCACCCTTCAAGATGTCGAGGTCATCGCAGAGCTTCTGGTTGACACCGCCAAACTTTAGATTGACCTTGAGACCGAGGTTGGCCAGAGTCCCCGGCGAGCCATTCTCGACTTGCTTTCGCACGATGCAGCTGGTGTGGATGCCGTAGATGCAGTCGCCCAAGGTCTTGATGCGGCTATAGAGCGGCCCAGAGTCCTTTTGGAACAAGATAAAGACAATCAGCTGCACGCCCTTGCTCTGGCTCTTCTTGAAGATATCGTCCAGCTTCTGGGTGATGTCGTATTGGGTGGCAGTCTCGGAAAACGTCGAGCCTTGCTGGATATTAATACCCATCCTCTGCCAAGCGGTAATCATTGAGTCGAGTTTGTCTGGCCCGATCGGTGGGGATCTGTCTCCGTACAGAATATCCACGTATGCCCACTTCGCGATCTTAGGGCCAGACTTCAAAACGCTAGCACTCATCAAGTTCCAGCTTCCGTTTCTGATTTCGGGGATTTTGCCCTTATCGTACCGGACCTTGGGTTGGTTGATGATACGCGCATTCACGGCAATCAGTTGTTTAGACACACAGACGCCAAGTTGCTGCAGCAGGGGGTTGTCATGGCCCAAGAGCTCGCGACTCTCCTTGACCAGAGTCCGAGCATTGGCGTAAGGCGGCCGACAGGCAAAGGTGAGCATGTCAGAGGTCTCCTTTGCCGTCAATTTGAGCTTGGCCTGCTGCCCCTGCTGAATCTCGACGACTTCGGCGGGGAAGTAGGAATTTTTATCCCCGTTGCCAAAGTTGAAGAGCGGGTAATTTCCCAGCTCAAGACCGTATTTGTTCTTGAAATGCTGCTTGACCGTAACGTACTTTTTGTCTTCGGCATTCCAAAACGAGACGTGCGACGGACCGCAAAGCTCCCAGTTGGGGGCAAATTTATCGGCATTCGGACCCTTGTTGCCGCGCTTTCGCGTCATGTCCGACGCAAATACGAGGCCCTCAATGGCCTTGACGCGCTTGACCTCACGGCCGCTCGTAGTCCGAAACGTGACGGACGCGCGAACCTTGCTTAGGCACTTGGAAAAGGCCTTGAGGGTCTTGATCATCTGGTAGTCCCTATGGTTGTGACCCGACGGGCAGGGCTCGATCTCCAGCTGCTCAAAGATCTTGGTGGCCTGTCCGGAAAGCTTGAAGACACCATGCGTAACCTGCGTGTTGAGAAGGACCCGGCCCGTCGCCAGGCGAACGGACTGGAAGAAGCCTCGAGCGGCAATCAATGGGCGGAAATCCTCCATGAGAGACGCAGTTTGGGCATGACTGGCAAACGGATAGAATCTCGAAGACCCAACGGCGCTGACGCTGTCAATGTTGGAGCGTGGATGGAACCCAAGAATCATGTTGAGCACGTCCACCACTTCTGGGTGGCGAGGGAACACGTTGTCATCCTTGTGCACCTTCATGGAGGCAACATGGTCAAGCATCTCGGAGAAGTTGACCGGCACTGCATCCATGAGCTCAACATCGAAATGCTCCTCGCGAGGAGGGGCTCCGTCCTCGAGAGCTTCATCCAATAGGACCACACGGATAGGATTGTGGGTCAATTGCAGCTCCTTTGACGAGACAATCTGGCTCTTGAACTCGCTGACCACCAATTTATTGTTGTCTGATAGCGTCGCAGTTGCCTTCTCGGCCGCCGCTGCCTTATCGACAGCCGCCCTGGCATCCGCAACCGCCTGCTTGTTGCCCGCCTTCTGCACCTCCTTGAGCGCCTTCTTGGCCTGCTCCAGCGTGGCCTTGGCCTCAGTGCGAACCTGCCCCGGCACATCCCGAATCATGTCCAGCAGTTTGGCAATGACAAACTGCAACTTCCTTCCGCGAACTTCCACTTGCTTGGGCCGACCCTTCTCCTTTTGCTCGGCAGTGAAGACCCGGTCGATGTTGAGGCCATACTTGTAGAGCGTGATGGGCTTGGCCGTGACGGCGAAGGAATTGGCCCACACGATGATGGCACGGCCTTGGTCGCCAAAGGCAGGCCGGGCAGGAAGATGCTCGCCAAAGACGGCGCGGGCGGGCGCCTTGCCGGGCTTCTTGATACGCTGCATAAGCTCATCGGACTGCTGCTTGACGAGCTGGTTCTCCAGCTGCTGGATGGCGGGGTCGGGGGCCGCGGTCTGGTTGGGGTCCCTGTGACTGCATTAGTATCGAGTATTTGGCATACGCAAGACGCATCTTACCTAAAGTATGCTGGCGGCGCTTTAGCACCACGGCCTCCATCGCCACGCCCCCGGCCTCCATCACCACGGCCCCGATATCCATCACCACGACCCCGATATCCATCACCACGGCCACGGCCTCCATCACCTCGGCCGCGTCCCCGACCTCCATCACCACGACCACGACCCCCATCACCACGGCCGCCGCTTTGATCTCCCTGGTCAGGGCGACCACCTCGGTGGGGAACAGAAAAGCTCCCCCGGTAGGGGACATCCCCGCGGCCTCGGCCACCACCACCACCACCACCAGGAGCAGATTCAGTGTCACGATGGCCCTGTCCACCGCCTCGGCCGCCGCCTCTACCGCCTCTACCACCGCGGCCGCCTTCAGAGCTGCCACGGCCTCGGTTTCCACGGGTATCGGACATGTTGGTCAAGTCAGGTTGGTTGGGTACGAGCAAGGGAGGGCACTGCTTTTCATGTGCTGCGTTTGTTGCTGTGCGACGTAGTTTGTTTTTCGTTTGGAGTTTGTTTCAAACACCAGCAAAGCGCCTTTGGCGAGGCAAGGCCAGCTTTTTGTATTGACCAGCAACGCTCAGGTTCACGCGTCGTGACAGAGGTGCACGGCGTTGGGCAACGCTCCTGGCAGGGTCACAGTCAGGCAACCGGGTAACGGCAGCTACCGCCCTAAAAGAAAAAAGAAAATAGCCTTGTGAGTAGCCTTATCAGCGTATGACCTGTATCCTGCCCGTGATACACCGTATGAAGCGATTGGCGATGGTTCGCTGGTGAGTTTTACCGGCACCGGTGTGTGGTGTACCAGTGAAGACGTGCGCGGTCCGGCGGTGACTGGTGGAGAGAAATTATTGGCGCCCGCACTTTGGGCAATGAGCTGTTGCATCTGGATTAGTGGATGAGTAACTACCTACTTATAGCACTGGAAAACAATCCTAACACAACTGACATTTAGGTTCCCCGTGCTCTCTGTTGTCGGCTTATCGTAATTACAAGGTTCATTTGAGTTCCATAATTACTATTATCCCGGCGAAAGCTGTTCTTTAATGAGCTCTTGAAGCCCAGCCTACCTAGGTAGGTAGCTAGCATCTATCGACTTACGGCCAAGTCTACGGATCATCATATTCGACATTGAAACGTTTTGTACTATGCTCTTGCTAATTTTGATTCGTCCTCTTTCCGCTTTTGTCATTGTGAGTGCACACTGGGCTGTATTGGGCATTTTTCGGTCACGCTGTGCGACACTTTGCTATCACGGCACTTGACCACTGCACGATGGACGCGGGTCACACGGCAGATACATTTTCGGCTTGGAAATATGCGAATGTAGCTAAATCGCCTAGTTCTGCGGCAATGAAACGTCAAACAAAGTGTCCGAGATTTAATGCTGACTGCGAGCCTCATCGCGCCCAGTGATTGTGATGCAAGTGGTAGCCCCGTTTCGTCCAACCAACCGAACCTGGCACGGCAAACGAACCTGACGATAGGTAATCGTATCTAGCTACCTCTTGTTACAAACGCTACATGTCAATACTCTCTTTCATTACGCACTGTATCGTCGCACCCGCTCGTTTGCAAGCGGGAACGTTGGTTGCTGGACAAACACGTCCATTCCGCTCCGGGTCAGAACCACAATTGAGAGCTCTGGTGCTTTGGGCGTTTGATGCCCTCTTTCGGTCCCTGTACAAATTAGTCTTATCACAAACACGCAGAGGTCTCTCTGTTGTGGTCGGAGCTGCATAGAGTGACAAGAGCCCGGGCCAGGGAGACCGGATGTGAGCCCGTCCGAACAATCCAGAACAAGTACGTCTTTGCATATTGCGTGGTCAGTTTGAGACAAGAGTTTTTTTTTTTTCCTTGAAATATGATGAGATTCTAGCTAAAGGCACTATGCCACGTTAAGAGCAGGGCGGCACTCAATGCTGCACGAAGTCACACCTCATGTAGGGCTCCGTCAGGGCTGTGGTGCAGCCCTGACACAATTCTGGTCTGTAGATTTATTTTATGTTCTGGTTCCTTCTTTGCGGACGCACAGTGATACCGAATAGGTTTGCTCCAGAGCTACCTGGGGGCAGGTCAGGAGGCTGTACTTTTGTACTTGGTTCAGAGGTTGGGTTGAATTTGAATAGAAATATCAAGCTTGAAGTACTATCCAAAATAGTATTCGTAAATACTTGGCTGTTTGTACCCGTTGTTGCTCCCCGACAAAATTGACAGCAAAGCCACGACCTCTTCGATACAGGCGTCGATATGTATTTGATGACGTTGTATTGGATGTCAGCATGGTTCTATTTCGGGCTCCTCCCTTCACGCTTCTGGTGCTAGGTGACCAGCGGTGGCAATCTGGAGGATCTCAGCCTCTAACCCGGGTACCACAATCACTTCGATTCCGGCATCTTCCAGCACGCGCCGGCCCGTGTTCTGTCCAACAAATGTTTCCGGCTCTGGTACCCCGACGTACACCTTTTTAATCCAGGAATTTTGCCGCAGTACCCGCTCAACACAAGGCAGTTTGCCGCTGAGCCGTTTGAAGCATGGTTCCATTGTAGTGTAGAGAGCATGAGGGCTTTGCATGACCTCAGCGAGGTGCTCTTCCGAGGTGGAGTGCTGCTCGGCAAGCTTGATGAAACAACTCTCTTCGGCGTGTGTATTACCGGGGCATTCCAGCGTAAAGCCGTCTGTAGTTATTGATGTGTTGTCTATTTTCACCAGCACCGCGCCTACCCGAAAATTTGTCGGCTTTGGCGGAGACTTGGTTGCTAAGCTCATGGCATATCGCATAGCGGCAACATGATCATCTTTTGGAATTATCGTCATGATGAGCGTACGGAGGCTGTGAAGTTGTTTTGAGTCGGCTAAAGGCAATCTGAGGGCGGATGATGAAGGAGATGAAGTGCTTCCTTGCAATGTACTGAGTTGTCCGTTGCAGGGTAGAGGTTAAAGCCCCGCCAAAGCTCAAGCTAAGCTGATGGTGACAGTGATGGTTACACTTCGTTCCTGCACAGTAGTAAATCAGAGAAAAGATGTAGCTGTCCAAAGAATAGAAAATCATATCGAGTAACGACCTTTCAAAAATAAAAAAAATCGATAGTCATTCTTAAAATATTCAGATACATGCTCGAAAAGCTAAATGTTGGGTGATTGGTGCGCGTAAACCCCACGATTCAAGACGTGTTTACGCGTAAAGAGCACCGACCAAGGATCTCGCTCCTACATCACAACAGTACCACCATAACATCACCCACAATGTCAGACCGCGAGGACAGCGTCGAGGCCGAGCCCCCATCTATAGACCCCTATGAGGTCCTCGGACTGGAGCGCACTGCGACGGCAGACGACATCAAGAAAGCATACCGCAAGGCCGCGTTGAAGCACCATCCAGGTAGGGAGATCTCCTCGGCCACTCTTGCTGCGCTGTGACGACTAACGCATTTTTTCTTCCTTGGTCTTGCACGACAGACAAGGTGGCCGATTCCGAGCGCGCCCAAGCCCACGAAACATTTCAGTCTGTCGCGTGTGCCTACGCGGTGCTGTCCGACCCGGCCCGCCGGAAGCGCTACGACACAACCGGTTCTACGGCCGAGTCCATCATCGACACGGACGGATTTAACTGGAGCGACTTTTACCGCGAGCAGTTCAAGGACGCCATCTCCAGTGACGCGATTGAGCTGTTTTCCCGCACGTACAAGGGCTCCGACGAGGAACAGGACGATGTGCTGGCCGCCTACGAGCAGTGCGCTGGCGACCTGGACGCCCTCTTTGAACACGTAATTCTGAGCAGCGTCGTCGATGACGAGGAGCGCTTCCGCGCAATAATCGACAAGGCTATCCAGGACGAGGACGTGCCCGCCTTCAAGGCCTACACCAAGGAGCCCAAGCTGAAGCGCGCCGCCCGTCTCAAGCGCGCGCGCGGCGAGGCTGCCGAGGCCGAGGACTATGCCAAGGAGCTGGGCGTGCACGAGCAGATTTTTGGCGGCAAGAAGGGCAAGAAGAATGGCAAGGCCGGCAGCTCAGAGGATGCTCTGGCGGCCCTGATACAGAAGAGACAGCAGAACCGCTCGGAGAGCTTTTTTGACCACCTCGAGGCCAAATATGGGGCTCCGGGCAAGGGGAAAAAGGGCAAGAAAAGAGTGGTGGAGGAAGAGCCCTCGGAGGAGGCTTTCGAGGCGGCCGCCGCCAAACTCAAGAGTGGCTCCAAGAAGCGCCGGAACTAGACGGACTGCCAAGCATTGTATCGCGAGCATTACTGTAAGAATTAGCATGGAGTTGGATTGCTTTGAATATGTGGAATTTAGTTAGGGGGATATTTGGCGTTATAGGTCAAGGCACATATTAACAGGGCTAGCCTTCGATTGATAACTAGGAATGACCTTGTCATCCATCTCTTGCTTCGCCTCGAGTGCATTCATCGCTGACTATGATGATACTCGGTACCTAACGTTAGATAAGATTCATAATTACTTGGCTGACTCACATAATACAAAACCAAGGAAAGTTTTCGGCCTTGCCATTCTTGCTTCGTAAAAGCATTTGTCGTTATCCGCAAGGTCATGGGGCACGGCGGGGCGGCCGCCTCAGTAACGCTAGCTGCTCGCTCACGGGTTGACAGGCTCTTCATAAAAAGTAGCGGGCGCCGCGACAACGCGTTGACGGCCAAATATTGACCTTGCAACTGCTTCAGCTACTCACAACAGTATAATTCTCCACATCCAGATGCCGGCAAATTTAAGTCTTGTCATCTCCTACGCAATCATGCCATGAGTGATACCTTGGGATGGGTCTTTTACCCGCGATACTGCTTCCACCTGGCGCCGACTGCCAATGCATGGTGCTTCCTTCGGATCCAGGACCTGATGATGCTACAAGAGCGAGATGGCTTCCAGGGTATATGCGCACCGCCCCCTTTGTCATTATTTCCGCGGCTAACCATTTGTCGTGCAGGTGAGAACTTGTTTTTCCACCGCAATCTGCCCCTGAAATGGGTTCGCATTGTCGGTGTCGTTGTCGCCGTGGACGATTTCGCCGGTCTCCGGGCGTACACGATTGACGACAGCAGCGGCGCGTGCACAGAGGCCATTGTCTCTCTGGCGATGCCGAAAGCTGTCGCGCCTGCAAACGAGCTGCCGGGAGCGCCGGCGCCGGCGCCGTCTACGCCCTACGAGCACGTTGACGTGGGCTCCGTCGTCGACGTCAAAGGGGCGCTGACCACATTTCGCGACGCCAAGCAGCTCAAGGTGGAGAAGATGATTGAACTACGCAGCACGGCTGATGAGGTAAGGCTCTGGGCCAAGAGGAGCGCCTTTCGGCGGGACGTGCTGGAGAAGCCCTGGGTCGTGCCGGACAAGATGATCCGCAAGTGCCGCAGAGACGCAGAACGGACCGAGGCCGAGGACGAGAAGAAGAGGAAGCGCCTGCAGGCTGCTGTGCGTAAGTCGGGCAAGGCGGATGGGGCGCAGAGGAGACGGCCCGTCGTGGACGAGAGAGACGAGAGAGACGAGAGCGACGGGCAGGGCAAGCGGACAGGAAGACGTGGAGAGGAGGATCTCAAGGCTCTGGCAAGCTTCAATGGCGGGTACAGTGCTCTGGGGCTTTGACTCGCGCGTTGTTCTGTGCCTGTGATTATTGACCGAGATCGAGACCGGACGAAATTGATGCGACTTGGCGCTTACACTATCCCGTTGGAAAAATTCGCATTCATCATAAGAAATCGGAGGCTGCAATTTATTTAAGCTCTACTTTTCCGGGTCCCTTGCATGATGAATAGATTAAACCCCTTCGACGAACGGGCCCGAGCTGCCAATATTACATATGCCGCGCGAGTATCGTTTTTCTGGTTGGGAAGGCGCGGCAGCCGATGCGCTACCAACCGTTGTCACGATGATGCAAACAATGCATCTCTAGACCTTCAACACCTAGAACTCATTGCGCTCAACACCAAACCTATTTCAATATCACTCAGCCCAGATACCAAGAAAAAACAAAAAGACGGAAGAAAACGAGTTTCGTTCCCATCGCAACCAAACGTCTTGGCGAACCACATTGCAACGACACCGCAACTGTGGGACTTGCCCACCCGTCGCCGTTTTTGGACCCTGAACATCTCGGCTCAGCCCCCGAGACCAGTTGTACGTGACATGATTTCTTCTTTATCCCCGTCATTATGTTGCTTCCCACATTCTTTTCTCCTCCTTGTGTGGACCCCCGTGAGCCCCGTTGTGGTCACCAGGGGTGCCAGCGACTGACCCTTCTGGCCCCCGACTGGAATGGTGATCCTATTCATGGGTTGCCACGAGGCGCTGGGAGCATACCGGTGGGATGGCGGGATGTCCGTCGACATTTTGTATTTTATATACGAGGAAACCGCCTGTTGCTATGCGACGCCGAATTTTCTCCCTCCCCTTCTTGTCTCAAGTGAAGTCATATTTGCTGTAATTTGTCCTTGTGAGAGTGGCAGAAAAGGAACAGCCAAAAATGCGATTTTCTACGGCGTTGCTATGTGGCGAGGCACTGACATTGGTGGGAGCGTCAGGTATTGCCCGCGGTCACTCTTTGTTCTCGAGAGCAAACCGCCCGACGGTCACAAAGACGGTGACGATCCTCGAGACGGCCGTGTCGGACTGCCCTGTTCCTACATACACAGTTTGCCCCGAGGACGACCTCTTCGCTTTTGCTCAAGTTGGATCGAGCACGAGTCTTCGCACCATCTCGGCAACACCCTCTGCAGTCGTCTACAACGTGTCCCGCACCGTCAAGATCAAGACGATTACGATCACCGACACGGCGACCGTCTGCTCCCTTCCGGCCCTCACAGGTGTCGAGCCGCAGACAACTGGTGTCTTGAACACTGAGCTTGGCGAACCTGGACAGCCCACCCAGACACCTCTTTTAACTTCGTCTATCCCTACCTTGTCATCTCTACCGACATTTACGAGCACGCAGTCTGTGCAGACTACGCCTGCGGAGACTACCCCCGCGGAGACTACGCCTGCTGCCGAGTCATCGAATGCTATTCTGAGCAAGGTCAATTTCGGCTCTGACGCGAGTGTTGCGCCCTTTCCACTGCCGAACTCGACTTTCATCGCTGGTACAGGTTTTGCGACGGGCACAGGCGGGAATCAACTCCGACCTACGGGCTCAATAAGCTCCACCAGCGGTCTAAGCTCATCAACCAGTCTAAGATCATCAACCAGCCTGAGTTCATCATCCAGCCTCAGCTCATCACCCAGCCTGAGCTCATTAAGCAACACAACCAGTATCAGCACACCAGTGCCTAGCTCGACAAGTCTTAACGCGACAGATCCCACCACCAGCACCACCTCGACAAAGGAAGACTGGGACTCTTCAGCCATGGAGCTGGGAGACATTTTCACCGTTCCCATAGACATCAAGCCGCTACCTCGCCAGTTCTCATCTCGGCCCGATCACCCAGTCCCCCGGACCGGTATCCAGACCAGGGGGCCGCTTCAGACCAACAAGTTTTACTCCAACCTATTCCTGGGAAACCAAAGAGATCCCGTTTACACTTACCCATACTCGGTGTCATGGGTTGACGGCACCGGCGTCAGTGGTAGCTATGGTATGGCTTGCTCGCACATCGACGAGAAGCAACGTGTGTTTGGGCCGTCCAAGTTTAATGTCTCGGCGTCTTACTTCATCAACCCCATCGGCATCCATTCGATGATTATCTCGGCCAGAGAGCTTGACAAGGGCACCAAGATGACCTTGGACAGCATGACGGCATCGTCGATCCGTGCGCATCTGAGCTCGAGCACCTCATCCAAGCCACTGGTCTCATTCCCTCTGGTCCAAGGCATGGCATACATCACGGCTGAATACAACGGTGCGACACCACTTCTCCAAACTGGCGTGTTCTTCCGAAATATGACTCGGTCCACACAGAAGCCCAAGAAGGACGTTACAAAACACAGCTTTCTGTTGGAAGATGGCACGACGTGGCGCGTCTACGGCTACAAGACGAAAGGAGACGACCTCGACTTACAAGTCCTCAATAATGGAGTGGCCACGTCGGCAAAGCCTTTCTACGGCATCATCCAGGTTGTGAAGGAATCCACGACCACAAACTCGGACGAAGAAAGCAAGCTCCTGGATCAGGGTGCAGGAATCTACCCGGTTACCATGAACCTGTCTGGCGGTGTGAATGGAGCGGCTGGAAACTACCAATTTAACTTTGAAAAGCGTGGCCATCAGGATGGCGAGCTTTTGATGTTTGCGCTGCCTCATCATGTGCAATCTTTCGACAAGCCCACATTGGGCCTGCGTGCAAAGACTGTTTCGCTCATGACACCGACCAAAGGTAGAGCCGCGCTGGTGCAAGGCACAAAGTGGAACATGGTAGAGCCTTCGATGCCGGTCAAGCTTGGCTTCGACCCCTACGACGCTCAGAAGGGATCCATGAACAAGCTGTCCAAGAGCGCAAAGTCGACCATCAAGGCTGCTGCTTCCAAGGAGCTTTTGCAAGACATGATTACGGCAACCGACCTCGACTCAATGTATTTTAGCGGCAAAGCGCTGGCCAAGTATGCGTTCCTGCTATATGTCATCAATGACATGCTCGGGGAGACGAAGCTTGCGCAAACTGGGCTGGGGCAGCTCAAGGCAGCGTTTGGCAGATTTGCCGACAACAAGCAAAAGTATCCGTTGGTGTACGAAACAGCTTGGGGGGGCGTTGTATCGACTGGAGCCTACAAGACCGGACAGGCACTGGAAGACTTTGGCAACACGTACTACAACGACCACCACTTCCACTATGGATATCACATCTTGGCGGCTGCGGTGATTGGGCATTTGGACCCAAGCTGGATCGCCAAGAACAAGGACTATGTCAACATGCTGGCGCGAGATACATCGAACCCGAGCGGCAAAGATGCCATCTTCCCGGAGTGGCGATCGTTTGACTGGTATCATGGCCACAGCTGGGCGACGGGTTTGTATGCGTCGCTGGATGGCAAGAACCAGGAATCGAGTTCGGAAGATATGATGCATGCGTATGGTCTGAAGATGTGGGGCCAGGTATCTCGAAACGCGCCCCTGGAAGCTCGGTACGTGGCGCAAAATATTGATGATGGTGGCTGAGGATGAATGAGTGCTAACAATGAGACAGGGCGAATTTGCAGCTGGCCATTACGGCACGAAGCCTGCAACAGTACTACCTGTATGAGGAGGACAACACGATCCAGCCCGCGGAATTTATTGGAAACAAGGTGGCGGGTATCCTGTTTGAGAACAAGATTGATCACACGACGTTCTTTGGCAACGAGATTGAATACATCCAAGGTATTCACATGATTCCAATCTTGCCAGTGTCGACGGTGGCGAGAAGGTCCAAGTTTGTCAAGGAAGAGTGGGAGGCATTCTTCAGCAACGGGCGGGTGGACAAGATCGACAACGGCTGGAAGTCTCTTTTGCTTGGCAACCTTGCGACGATTGAGCCCAAGGAGGCGTTTGAGGTACTCAGTGGGAAGACATTTGACAGCAGGTGGTTGGATGGCGGCGTCTCGCTGACCTGGCTGCTGGCGTACTCTGCTGGTAAGTTTTATACATGGCTGGATGACGTGTGTGAATTATGAATTATGAATGCTAACATGTGCAGCTCTCGGCGGGTTGTAATGAGGCATCATACGGATGTGTGAGAAGGAGGGCATTAGGAACAACAGGCAGGCAGGTGGATAAAGGCCTGCCTGGGTTACTACTTTGTTTCGAAATTGTAATTAATAGACATACCTAGAACAGTACAGTGCGACGCTGAATTCTTTTTGTAAATGGAAGAGATATTCTTTTTGTTTCTCTTTTTTTTGACAGGATCGCTGGTGTAGTTCAATGCAGGGAGGTGTGCAGGTGAGGCGAGAGCTGCCTAAATGAGCTAGATCTGGCGATTGCGGGGGAGGCAGTGCATGTCTTGGGATAAGAAATAAGCTTTTATCAGCCGCATCGGAGGCCCAGCCAACCAGCCAAGAGCTTACCTGAGGTAACTACCTAGCTAGAGGAGCTTCAGGGGAGAGATGCGAGGCAGCGAAAGAGGTCAAGTGGGAGCGGTAACGTGGACAATGCGATGTGCCGGACCGGGAGGCGGGAGGGTAATGCAAAGATTCGTGTCCATGGACGCGCCGTTGAAGTTGCAAGAATTAGATGAGGCAGACAGCTAGGCAGACAGCCGGAAGGCCGGGAGGGAGTGATTGGCGTCACATAAAATGTACTACGTGATGCAGAGCGTTACGCGCAAGTCCATGACGTTTTGAAAGGAAGAAAAAAGGGGCACCTATCGGATGCGCACGTTGTTGGCGATGGATGAATATTGTGTGGCTGATATAGACAGTGACGAACTGTGCGTTGTTTGCACAACGTTTCGAGCAGGAGGAGAAGAGAGGGCAAGCAAGGGAGGAGGAGGCCTCCCGGATCGCCGGGACAAAAGCCAAGCAGGCTAGGAAATTAGAAGAGGGAAAAAACAAAAAAGCTGCCGAAACATGGGCGCCACAAATGGCTGGGGGCCGCAGGAGCATTTGTGGGATGAATAAATATTTCCAAAGAAATTTGAGCAACTTAAAAATAGAGTTGGCGGTTATAAAGGGATTCATGTCCAGCTTCCGTCATGTTTATTAAGGCGGCAATGGGCCTGTGTGACACAGAGTTTGAAAGAGCTGTAGTTACCTACAGAGTACCTAGAGCAACATTAACCTCTTCCTTATTCCTACTATTTTCTTACTATTTATTAACTTCTTTCTCTTTTTTTTTTTTTTTTTTTCTTCTAATTTTCCTTTATTCTTACCATCCCTCTTATTTTGCTCATCTTCTTAATTATAGAGTATAAACTATGTGTGCGGCCTTTTTTTTTGTCGCCCGCATGCCTACTACATGTAGGTACCTAGCTCAGCTCAGTACAGGCTACCACCTACCCGCCTGTAACAGGTTTGGTGCCTTGGCGAGGCTCTCACTCCGTCCACAAGACGTAACAGGCAGCGCGCAGTCGGCGGTGGACAAGGGGCCTCGGTCGAGGTAGATGATCTAGCTGCCTACGGATAGTCGACTCCGTAACTGCATGCAAGCCCAGATCAATCCAATGCAGGCAGGCAAGAATTAAGAAAGAAAAAACATTCCACATTGCACCAAGTTGACAGGCAACAGGCAACCTTTGTTTAGCGGAGCTCGTGGCTGGTGCTGGCACATGCGCCACATCATGACACCTGAGAACAAGGGCGCTATGCTGGTTCTGGGTGGACAGCTTGCATCCTCCCGCCACTGACCCCTGCAAGCCTGCTGCAAGGCCCCCCCCGATCGTCAAAAGGGACAAGACAAGCTCGCTTCCACAACCAGGCTGCCCCCCCCCATCCATCGCATCCGTCGTCCAACGCGACGAACCTTGATCACACTCGGGCCTACAAGTAAAACGGCGCCCAAGCTAGCTTTTCACCATCTTTCTTTTAATCTCTCATTTCTAGGTTCTCTACTTCTACTGCTTCCTTCTCCCTATACTTTAATCCCATCTTCCCTCTTTTAGTCCCATCATCCTTCCTTCTCCGTTTGCAGCTCTCAAACACATCCTCCCCGACTTGCGGCAGGCACGGCGGCATCGCCCTTTTACGACTCGCCACGTCCAAGTTTTTTTCTCCCTCTGCTCCAATTTCTCTCCAGTCCAGCCCACAGTTACTGGAACTTGACGAAAAAACACGAGACTAGACAAAATTGGCTTGATACTCTCAACCGCTCGGTTCTCTTGAACTAGTTTTTCTTTTCCGTTGCTTGACCGCCCTCACCAAAGCATCCGAAAACACCAAGAGTCACAACGACAAATACCAATCCAAACGCGATGGATCCTACCAAACCCACCGACCGTAGCTCGTCGGAGCGCACGCCTCTGCTCAACGGCGAGGGCGGCTCCAATGCCGGCGCCGGCGCCGCGACTGGCCGCGGTCGTCACCACCGTCCGACTGGCGGCTCCAACCTCAAGCACTTCTTGCTCAACCATCGCTACACCCCCGGTACCGAGCACGACAGCATTGTGGTGCGCAGCGCTGCCTACACCTGGCACGTCGCCAAGGTGACTCTTCTCAGTAGTACGTTTATTGACCACGGGATGGGGAAACAACCAGCAGACTAACCACAACCTAGGCTATGTCAACTTCCTCCTCGTCATGGTTCCCGTTGGCATCATTGCCGGCATCCTCGACTGGAATCCCACCGCCGTCTTCACCATCAACTTCTTCGCCATTATCCCGCTTGCTGCCGTCCTCTCTTTTGCCACCGAGGAAATCGCCCACAAGCTCGGCGACGCTCTCGGCGGCCTTCTCAACGCCACCTTTGGCAACGCCGTGGAACTGATTGTATGCCCATCTGCAACCATTGAAACCGCCCACTTCTTCGATTGACTAACAATTGAACAGGTCAGCATCGCTGCCCTTCGCGACGGCCAGATTGAAGTTGTCCAGTCCTCCATGCTCGGCTCCATCCTCTCCAACCTGTTGCTCGTCATGGGCATGTGCTTCCTCTTTGGCGGCCTCGTTCACCGTGGCACTAACGGCAACGGCACCGAGCAGACCTTTTCCGCCGCCGTAGCCCAGACCACTTGCTCTCTCATGGCCCTCTCCTCGGCCTCGCTTGTCCTCCCTGCCGCCGTACGTTTCTTACCAGTTTTCCTGCCATCAAAGTCTCGTCTTGCGCTAACTTATCCTCAGCTCTACGCTGTCATGGACCAAAGCGGTTCCACCGCCAAGCGCGAGTCCATTCTCGTCTTCTCCCGCGGCACCGCCATCATCCTGCTCATCCTCTACGTCCTCTACCTGATCTTCCAGCTGCGTACCCACAGCAACCTCTTCGACATCGAGTCTCCTTCTAACATTGCCGCCGACGCCGCCGGTGCCGATGACGAGACTACCCAGACACCCGAGACCGAAGCCGCCGATAATGAAGAGGAAAGTGAGCCTGTCATGGGCCCCATTGCCGCCCTTGGTGTCCTTGTCGTCGTCACCATCCTCGTCGCCATTTGCGCCGACTACCTCGTCGGCAGCATCGACGACATTGTCGCCGCTACGAACATGAGCAAGGCATTCATCGGTCTTATCCTCCTACCCATTGTCGGTAATGCCGCCGAGCACGTAACGGCTGTCGTTGTCGCCGTTCGCAACAATATGGATCTTGCTATGAGTGTGGCCATTGGATCCAGCATTCAGATTGCTCTCGGCGTCACCCCGTTCCTGGTTCTCGTTGGCTGGATCATGGACAAGGACATGACGCTACGCTTCGAGACTTGTAAGCCCTCTCCATTGTATGCTCCCAGGATCTACTTACTAACGTATACCCAGTCCAAACTGTGTCGTTTGCGGTCTCGGTTCTCGTCGTCACATACACTGTCCAGGACGGCAAGTCCAACTACCTCGAAGGCGCCATGTTGATTGGTCTTTACACCATTATTGCCGTTGCCTTTTACGCTACCCCTGGCGACGCCATGGACACCGTCATGACCCTCATCGCTGGCAAATAGACATGTCCTGTGTAACAACGCTTTCAACAACGGAAAATGATAAATCACAAAAAGTGCGGGTATTAGGGGCATGGCGAATCATGGACGGAATCAGCTACGACTGATTGGAGTTTGCGTGTGTCACTTTTGACTTGTTATCACCGCCCTGACGGCGTTTCCTAGTGTTTTTTTCTCGCGCATTGGTGTACTATTTGACTAGTCGGACTACATGACAATTAATCATTTCACAAATTTTCATGTACACGAGCGTCGCGGCTGAAGACATAATACTGATCTTCTGACCTGTATAGTAGCTGCCCTGTAACGGTCAATAGCGTATCCCCAGATAGAAATGCTCTACTTTTCAAATTACCAAAAGGAAAAGGGAGCACTAAGGGTCCCCTACAAACAATATCCCTGATATGCCAGAAAAAAAATCTTATGAAACAAAACAGCACCACCCATGCAAACATTTCCCCCAACTACCTCGTCGGCTTTGACATGGGCGTAATGATGCCCTGCTTCACCAGCACCCTCGGCTTGGTGTTGTCCTGGAACGACACCTTGGTCACCCACTCGGGCCCGATGGGCAGCCTGAGCGAGCGCTCATACTGCTCCTTCGACTCGAACGGATGCGGCAGCTGCGTAGCCCTGTACAAGTTGTTCTGTAAAACCCCGTTAGCGTTTTTTTCTTCTTTCTTTTTTTTTGTGATATTTTTCGTTTCTTCTAATATATATATGGAAAAACGAAAGCCGGGGGGGGGGCTGGTTTTTACCTTTTTGACGCGCTTCTCGTTAATCATCACCTTGCTCAGCTTGGCATCCTTGCGGTCCTTGGCCTTGACCACGCCCGTGACCGTCTTGAGAAAACGCCCCGCGTTGCGCTTCAGCTCGCGCTGGCTGACGCCGGCGCCGACCCAGGCGCCCCAGCCGGGCAGCGTGGTGTCGACGACGTGGTCGTCGTCGGCGGCGGCGACGGCGGCCTTTTCGCGCGCAAACTCCCCGACCACGTCCTCCCCGGCAAAGGCGCGCGCGACGAGCGCCTGGTCGCGGACGGCCATGGGCAGGTGCTGGTCGGCGTCCGAGTCCGAGTCCGAGTCGTTGTTGTTGGCGGTGGTTGAGGCGCGCTTGGCGGTCGTGTCGGTAGAGGACGCTGCGGGCTGGGACTTGGGCGTGCTGCGGGGGGCGCCGGCCACGGCAATGTGCTCGCTCAGATCGAGGTCCTCGGCGCGCGCGCTCTTGGACGCCTTGCGGCGCGACTCGCCGCGGGACCAGGCGCCGGTCGTGGCGGTGCTCGTGTCGGCCGCGGGAGCGGACCAGGCGCCGTTGGACGTGGTGGTGATGACGACGTCGTCGTCGTCGTCGTCGCCATCTTGCGCCGGCGCGCGAGACTTGTTGCTCTTCTTCTTGGACAGGTCAATGGCAACGGGCCGCATCTTGAGGCTGGCGTCACCGTACGACCGGCGACCGACCTCGTCCGCGGCTTCGTCGTCTGACTCGTCACTCTGCTCCTCGCCGTTGAGCCCTTTCTGGATCTCCTTGATCAGCTGATCATTCTCCTGCTTGCGCGCCGCCTCGGCCTTTTGCATAAACTTCATGGCCATGAGCTTGGACTGGGGCTCGTCGTCGTCGTCGTGCGCCAGCTCTGCCAGCTGTCTCCGCAGCTTCCCATCGCCATCGTCGTCATCGCTCTCGCTACTCGTAGCGTCCTCGTCATCCTCGTCGGCGCCGCCACGCTTGCCCTCCTTGCGGCGGCGCAGCTCCTCGTCGCGCCGGGCCATCTCCGTCAGACCGGTGCGAAACTCGTCGTCCCAGACGGCGCGCTTGGTCCTGTTGCCGAGCTTGGCCCACTTGCTGTCCTTGTGGCGCTGGCCGACGCGCTCGAGGGCGCGGCGGCGGTCCTGCGCCTCGCGCTCCGCCTCCGAGTCGAGCTCGCCGGCCTCGTCCATGGCCTCGCGCGCGGCGAGCTCGCCGCGCTCGCGCTCGCGCCGGTGCACGCGGTGGTACGCCTTGCTCTTGATCTTCTTGATGCGCGCGGCGCGCTTTGTCTCGCGCGAGGCGAGCTCCCGCTCCAGCCGCCGCCGGTTGATGGCCGCGCGCCTGGATAGCTCGTTGCCCTCGTCGTCGTACTCGACGGTTTTCGGCTTGGGCGGCGGCTCCAGACTCAGGCCGCTCTCCGTCATGATGGACATGATGGCCGACTCGAGCTCGTTGGCGGGCTTCGCGGTCGACAGCGGCTGCAGCCAAGTGCGGTCGACGCCGGCGCCCGGGGCGTTTTCGGGGAGGGGAAATACGAGGTGCCCCGCGCGGCGGTTGTGCTTGACCGTCTCCGTCCAGCGTTCCAGCGTCTTGTTTGTCGTCTCGTAGGCGGCGCTCCGGTCTAGACGGCCCTGTTCTCGTCGTGACAGTGGTACGTCTAGCTTCTTGGCAGCCCCTGGGCGCTTCTCCTTTTCTTCTTTATTCATAAGTTTGACCGACTTTCGCATGAGCGGATCGTTGAGCTCTGAGAGGCCGAGGTCGCCAAAGCTGATCTTTTGCTTGGAAGAGGGCTTGTCCTTGGCACCGTCTTCTTCGCCACCAAAGCCGGAAATGAGGCCTTGTAGAGCGTCGAGCTTTTCAGGGTCGGCGTCCTCTACGCTCTCGTCATCCTCGTCGTCTTCATCGGAGCCATCCTCGTCGCCCTCATCGTCAGAGTCCTCCTGGCTGCCGTCTTCCTCGTCAGAGTCCTCTTCAAACTGATCTAGAGCAGTCGCCAGATCAATCGCCTCGGCGCCAAGGGTCTGTCCTTCGTCGTCGTTGGAGTCATCGTCGGAGTCGTCATCAGCAGGCTTTCTCTTGGACTTGCTGCCGCGAAACTGGTATTCTTCAAATTTTTCATTATCGCTGTCGCCAAAAGCGTCGTCGCTCTCAATTTCAGAGTCCTCGTCGTCTTTCCCCATGCCACCGAGCTGCCACTCGTTACCGTCGCTGTCGCTGCCATACTCGGCATCCGCATTCTGTCCACGTGCCGCCGGCCGCTTCGCCTTTTTCCTCGAGGGCTCGTCGTCCTCGTCCTCATCCTCGTCGTCCTCGCCTTCCTCGCGGCCGTGCTTTCGCTCAACCTCGGCGTCCAGCTCGCGAACACGCGGTGTCTTTTTTATTCTGGTGGGGTACTGCTCTGCCGCCGTGTTCAAGGCATTCAGCACGCTCTTTTGCGACCGGGCCTTTGATCGATTTATATTCTTCGTTTTGGGGGCCGCCAGGAGCGACCGTCCGTGTGATTGACGCCCAGGCATATCTATGCTGTGTGTGTAGATGCGGTATATATTATCCTTCTAGTCGTGCAAATCGACATGCTCCATCGCAAAGTCCGTCTCGACATGGAATTTTTCTGCCGCACAAAATTTTGGCGGTGAGGCAGCTTGTACTTGCTGGTGGGGTGCAAGCTTGGCGCTCACACTGGCGAGGCCTATCAGCGCCCTGTATTTGAGTTCGGTCAGGCGAGAGTGTCCGCGACAGGCCAGGGATGACTTTCTTTTAGCGGCTGCTGTGCTGCCTCCTCCAAACCAGCATCACGCCACTCGTCTCGTCGACATTGTAGACTGCTGGCCTTTGCATCGCCAGAAGCGAACATGTCGGCCTTTTTACCTGCCTTGCGGCGGGTTGCCTTCCAGGCTCCGTCCAGGTTCTTTGTCTGCAACCAATGCCTGCGACAACCCCCCCGAGCGGCGCCGTCGTCCCGGATCCTCCAAGCCGCCCAGTCGCGGTTCTTTGTCGCCAATGCCACCGGGCCGGTAAATGCATTGGCCGCCGAGGCTTCCGCGGCCGCCGCCAAGGCCTCTGCGCAGACCAAATACGTCTTTCCCAAGACGACGTCCAAGGCCGTCGGATACTGGCTCATTGGCAGCGCCGTCAGCGTCTTTGGCATCGTCGTCTGGGGCGGCCTGACCCGATTGACCGAGTCCGGGTACGTCTGCGTCCCCTCAAACCTCCACCCAAGCCGACAGACTTGAGCTAACCCTCGACGCAGCCTGAGCATCACCGAATGGAAGCCCGTGACCGGATCGATGCCCCCACGATCCCAGCAAGACTGGGAAGCCGAGTTTGAGCGGTACCGCGCCTCGCCCGAGTTCAAGATTCTCAACCCTCACATGACAGTCGACGAGTTCAAAAAGATTTACTTTATGGAATGGAGCCACAGACTCTGGGGCCGCGTCATTGGCATGAGTTTTGTCCTGCCGACGCTCTACTTCATGGCCCGCCGCCGCGTCTCGGCCAAGATGGCCGCCAACCTGCTCGGCATCTCGTCCCTCATCGGCTTTCAGGGCTTCATTGGCTGGTGGATGGTCAAGTCCGGCCTCAAGGACGACCTCTTCGCCGAGGGATCGCACCCGCGCGTCTCCCAGTACCGCCTCACCGCGCACCTCGGCACCGCCTTTATCTGCTACTCGTGGATGCTGCTCTCCGGCCTGGCCGTCCTCCGCGCGCGCCGCATGGCCGCCGACCCGCGCGCCGCCCTCGCCGCCATCAAGGCCGTCCACAACCCCGTCCTGGCCAACTTTCGGCGCACCGTCCTCGGCGTCACCGCCCTCATCTTTGTCACCGCCATGTCTGGCGCCCTCGTCGCCGGCCTCGACGCGGGCCTCATCTACAACGAGTTTCCGAAAATGGGCCTCGGCCTCACGCCACCCGCCTCGGAGCTCTGGGACAAGTTTTATGCGCGCCGGGCAGACGGCTCCGATCTCTGGTGGCGCAACATGCTCGAGAACCCCAGCACCGTGCAGATGGACCACCGCATTCTCGCCGTGAGCACCTTTTGCGCCATCCTCGCCCTCTTCGTGTACTCCCGCCGCGGCCGCGTCGGTGCGGCCTTGCCCAAAGACGCCCGCAAGGGCGCCCTCGGCCTCGTGCATCTTGTCTGCATGCAGGTAGCGCTCGGTATCACGACTCTCATCTACATGGTGCCGATCCCTCTGGGGGCGGCGCACCAGGCCGGCAGCCTCGCCGTGCTCTCTGGCGCGCTCGTCTTGGCGCACCGGCTTCACGTGCCCAAGTCCACCGTCCGCGCCTTGGAGCAGAAGCTCAAGCACATGAAGCCGCAATAGCCGGGTCTGGTCCAGTCATGCATGCCCTGGCTAAAACATATATTATAACGGAACCGCAGTTCTGCCAAAACTGCAAGTGCTGGCATCAACATGGTAACCGTTTGTACTCATCTCAGTATTCTTTTGTATAAATAGCAGTCTTATTAGATCCAGATAGACTAAATATATCACCACTGTATTCCTTGAAGAAAGATGCTGATTAATTAAAAAAGAAGAAAAAATTATGATTGATTCGTATTAACACATCACGGTGCTATTGCAGCACCGTTTATAGTCGTAGTCGTTACAAGAGTTTATGCCACGAATGGCCGAATTTACAAAGCGCCAGACTACCTGAAGGAAAATGTAGAGACATTTTATGCTCCAAAACCACTATTTAAACCATCGTCACCAAGTTTTTTTTTCGTGCGTCTCTTTCATTCCCGTCTTTATAATTTTGCAGTTTCTTTCCTTTCCTCATCGCCCCATCACTCCATGTACATGTCTCCTCGGACGCCTTGCATAGCCATGCCGATCTCCTGCATGGCATTGGTTGGCATCGTCATACCCAAATCGGGCATAGAGCGGCTCATGGCCATGGAATTGCGCGAGGCTGGGCTGCCGCTAGCATTGGGCATCATGAACCGCATATCGCCCGAGTTCTGCTGGACCTGAGCCCGTGTTCTGGGCACCTCGAGTTGGGCTTGCTGCTGCATGGGAGCCTGAGCCTGCTTCACCGAAGAAGTATCCATCATGGCAAAGCTGTCGTCGTCTTCCATTTCTGCGTCTGCGTCTTCATCAGCGTCTGCGTCGGCGTCAGCGTCGGCGTCAGCGTCAGCGTTGGCATCGTCCGTGTCGATATCTTGATCGCTCGTCTCAGCTATGGAAGGGGGAGCAGTATTGGTAGCCGACTGTGTCGTCTGTTCGCTCTCCTGATGTGTGCTAGCCATCGACAATCGTTTCTCTCGAGAAGGTCCAGGTTGCGGGGTAGACTCTGACACAGACGTCTTCTGGGATCTCGCTTGCTGGGATTGGGCCGGGCTTGCAGCACTGGGTGACGCAGCAGGGCTATCAGGTGGCTCCAAAGGCTTCTGTGCGCCCATGCCCGAAGACGAAACCCGAGTAGAGGTGATGACGCTTTTCCATCGGCCAATCGAGCGCGCAACAACAGTGGCAAGATCAAACTTGCGGTCCTCGACGTCGAATCCGATGCTCTTAGCGCCGCTGACTCCTGCTCCATAGGCCCTTGCAAGCAAATCTCGATCGACAGGGAATGTGGTTGGTGATAGGTGAGTGAACTCGCGGGGATGCTGCAGTCGGCTTAGTTGCTCGTTCTGACTCTTCAAATTGGCATTCTCCTGCTTGAGACGGTGCACCTCATCCTTGCACTTGTCAAGGTCCTTTTGCTTTTTACCAATACCGCGTGCTAGCTCCAACACCCAAAGCTCGTCTCGGCGCTGCTCAGGTAGTGACTCCCATGCTGCAAAGGCAGATTGCAGATGCTCGGTGACCTGCTTTTCGAGGGTGGCGGCAGTACGCTCTGCTTTTTGGACAGCGTCTCGAACGTTCCAGGCCGATTTTCCAGTCGGCAGCTTAATCAAATCTTCCGTGACGGCTGTAGTTGCGGAAGCGCATGTGACTTTCCAGGCTTTGAAAGCTTCTTCAAAGTAGGCCTCCAAGGCATTGAACTCGCGCTGACCTGGTGACTGAACTGACCAGGATGTCGAAGTGGCGTGCTGGGTGGAGGAAAACAGTGTGGGTGGCGGTTTCAAACATTGCAAGGTGAGGGCCGGAAAGTCGAGTGATAAAGGGTCAAACTCGAATGGATTCGAGCTGTTGTCAATTTCTTGCCTATGATTTGATGCCTTGTCAGTAACGGGCAAAGGTTGGCGGCAACAGGGGCGCATACTTTGCAGATCTCCATGAGCCGATAATTTCTCGCAAAGCTAATTCGGCGGCTCGAGCCGTATCCAGGGCATCGGCGAGTTTGTGCCTCATGTCTGACTGAGCCTTTTGCACCACCTGTTTGACCACTTGTTTGCTGGCCGCTCGTCCGGCAGCTGGGCGTTTGGCGGTTTCCGTGCCTTGTTCACTCGCGGCGTCGGCCTTGGGTGGGATGTCATTCATGACACCGGTTACTTCCCACCTTGGGGTATAAGGTAATTTGCTCAGGGTCGAATCCACGGCATATTGGCCATCTCTGGGGATTTGTGTTGCCCGTGGGGTGTCAGGGTTCGAGGCTGTCCGCGTCTTCCTCTTAGTGGTTCGGGGTGTTGCTGTGGGAGTGCCACTGAATTCTCGTCTGCCGCCAATGGAGCCGCGTGGTTGTCGTCTTGTGATGCCTCCGCGGAGTTTTCTGATCTCGTCAACGTCGTGGATGCCGTCTTCGGGTTTCGCGTTCTTTTCTTTGATATAAAGATCGAGGTGTCGACCAAGCGAGGAGGAGGTGAAGGCCTGGCCGCAGAAGGGGCAGCTCTTGTCTTTTGGGGCGCCGAGCTTGGGGGTTCCAGCGTCAGGGGTCCCGACCGAGGGCGAAGCCATGGTGGGTGAGGGCAGTCGACTAGTGCGAGGAGCAGACAGGTGCAGGATTGGCTCTCGACGTCGAGCAGAGCAGGAACAAGCCAGACTACAAGTCGATGCCTCTAGAGATGGCGTATTCGGACAGCTCCTCGGCTGGAGCAATGACTGCTAGGATCATAAGGAGAGCAGGGTAGATATTGGAGGCGGAGCTTGGGTTTGCTGGATCTGGGTACGATTGATTGAAAAGATAAAAGGCAAAAAAGGTAGGCGGGCGTATGCAAGAAAGCTGCGCAAAGGCAAAAGGCAAAAGGCAAAACGGCAGGTAACGAACGTCGGGAGGTCGAGATCCTCCAATGGCTAGTATATACAAGGCGGACAGAGCAAGAGGCAAGCGAATGTGAGTAGGGCTGTGAGTTCCCGAGATGTGACAAGAATCCTCCGGCAGCCGTTGCCCTCGGCGTGAAGAGAAAGAAGAAAGAAAAAAAAGAGAGAGCCGGAGAGTGAAAGGAGAAAAGGTAACGGTAAGTCGTCCTTCATTTTTTTTTTCTCCTCAAATAATGACTCCGGGTCAGGGGTGGAACCTCTCGGGGCGCAAAATGGGCCGCACCATCTCGGCCCCCTCCAGCACCAATGCAGCTAAAAAAGCACTGGCGAAAAAAAAAAAAAAGGACACGCGCTACACGATGGGCACTATTACTAGATGAGGAGAGAAGCAGCAGGCCGAGCGAGGAAACATTGAGCAGCGATCAGCGGCCAGGCGGCCAGCGAGGCGGGAGACGGGAGACGGGAGACGGGAAGCGGGAGACGGCCTGTCCGCTGGCGGGTGCGAAATCAATGCGATATCTCGTCGCCAATTGGCATGAATGCTGCCGTGCTCTGCTGCGCTCTGCTGTGCTCTGCTTTGCCCTGTCTTGCCTTTGCCGCGCCCGGCTGACTGGCCTGGCCGCCTGGCCGCCTGGCCGCCTCACTTGGCCTGCCTGTCATGGCCGAATGCCAAGTGGGAGTCGGTAAAGGCATACATTACATACATGCACGCATGGTCACGAAAACGGGCCGCTGTTTTGATTAGTTATGCTTCCATGCTACGGACTACTCACCAAGGTATGCTCATGGCCCTGCCTTTTCGTCCTTGGATGCTGGTTGCACTGCGAGCTGCTGATACCCGCGTACAGACAGCTGCCGGCCCGACCACTACAGCCTCTTGTCTCCCGCAGCCTCGCTGCTCGTCGCGTTGCGTGGTCCTGTCCGTCATTACTAGGCAGAGACATGCATCCTTCCGACCTCTCTGCCCTTCACCTCTCATGTGTGCTGCATTTCAAGGTTTGGGCGGCCCCTCCCCATCTTCCGTCTCAAACAAACCCGACTAGCTGGACCACGCTGGTCTGGCCAGGCACTGGGGCCGCCTGTTTGCGACATCGATAAGCCACATGCCCGGCCTGCAGATGCCTTATATTGCAATTAATAAAGAATCGAGCCATTCGCAGTGCGGCCGACAGCGTGGCTGATGGACCTGGTCCCGACCTCGTCAACTCTCCCACACAAGGCGGCCTTTCGTTGTGCCTCTCTGTGCTGGCCAACTTGCCATGTTGTCATGATTCTTTACACAAGACAATTCACACCAAGTGGACCGCCCAAGGACCAAGTATAGCCGGCCTGGATTGCTTGGGAAATAACCAACTTTCCGTGGCAAGCCATCATGCACGTCTCTGTCACTGCGTTGCTGACAATAATAGGCGAAAGCCACACCAAGGTCTGCCTTTATTAAACGACAACGCATAAGAACAAGCCGCCCGTTGAACCAGCCGCTAACTAGGTAGGCGGGGGCCCCTTGTCCGCCAGCCTGACACCCGCCAGTCGCCGATCGTTTCCGGCTCTTCGTTCCAAGCTCCATTCCTCCACAAACAAGTCGTCAACCTCTTCCGTCCGCTTTGACTTGGCCAAGTTGAGAAACTCTCGTGTTGCGTGTTGGCCTGTTTCCAGTCTTGACCACTGCCATGTACACAAAGTCCCCTAACTAGTCCTGGTTGAACAACCTTTCTGCTGCCATTGTCTCACAGAACAAGACTTCTCCCTGAACTCCGTTGATATGCACCTTCCTGTGAGCTGCATGCTGGTAATTTGCTTCACCTGCACTTGCAGGCCCGCCTGCATATGGGTCGGCATGGCCAGGAATGAGCCCTCAAAGAACAGTCCAGCTCCCGTTATCTGACAAGGGGTCGATGCCCCTCTCTATGCGGATTGTAACTAAAAACAACTGAATGGGACGCCTTGCAGCGAGAGGGTACAATTTCATGTGCCTAAATGTGTATGTTGCCAAGGTTGCGGCCAACGACCGTGCTGCTGGAGCCAAGCTGCAATTGGGCGTTGGCTGACTGCAAGCGGTATCTAGTGGCAAGCTTCGGGCAATCTCGAGGGTCAACTCTCCGAGTTGCCAGTTGCCAGTACGTCTGTCCCTGTTTTTGTGCAGTTTTACCTCGTCTATAACCAAGCTACATATAGCGGGTGGTGTCCTGGCTGCGCTTTGACGAGAACTCGGGCGCATAATCCAGTGCTCATGGACAGCATGTAATTGCCTCAGAAACCGGTCTAAGAGAATGGGTAAGCTACGCGAGAACCGTCTTGAATCTAGAGTCTGTTGCAGGTTACAGTGGTGAGCATAATATAGTTGGCCCTGGTCGGGCTGGCACTCTGTCAACTTTTCGATTAGCTCGGTGCAACTATTCCGGTCAGTTGGAGGGCGCAGGCTGCATTGAAATGCCGCAACAGACCTGCACGTCAGAACTGCGGAGAAGTGGTGCAGGAAATGAATTTCTCCCGCTCCTTGTTTTTCAACACGTTTTCTCAGACGAAGAGTATGGAGAAGCTGCACAACACGAACGGTCCACGCCCCGTCTAGCACGGCTTCCGGGCCAATGACACCATCGCAACACACTCTTGGTCTTATTATTACAGGCAACAAACCCTCACAAAAGACCCAGCTCACTGCATTTGGCCGAGGAAGCTCACCTGTGTTAGGCCCCCCTGGCGCTAGCGCACAGTGTGGGCTCAGTGCCTCACCACCACCACACATGGATGGCACCGACCACGCATCTGCGCTGCTTCGGTCCTTTGACATGAAGGCCAAGCTCCTCATGCGAGTTGTTGCGAGTGTGTGAAAGTCCCCAAGGTCGAGGTGAGGCGCAGCTGCCCCTTTACAGGTGCAGGCGCCAACTAACTTACCAAGGTCGTACAAGCTCATCGCCGGGACCAGAGCAATTTCGTAATGGATTCAAGACGCCTGCAACGTTATCCGTGACCGTGATCATGGTTTGATTATGGCGACCTTTTGGCTGCGACCGTCAAGTGCTTCGACCAGCCAGATGAATGAGCCCCCCGCCAGCGGATTGATTAGATGCGTGCTATTACGGTCCGACTCGCCAGGCTGCAACCGCACCAGACTGTGCGATTGGAACACCCTTGCTCCTTGCTTAGCAGAGTTTCGCTGCAAAGACGAAATCTCGGCATCTGCAAATCTCCCTATGTAGCTGCTCAGCAACCTACACAAGGGCGATGAACTCTCGTCTATGGAGGCTACATAGTTAACGGCTAAGCCAGTCGTGAGCAAGGTGAACCAGTCAGGTGATCGATCTACCATGCAAGAAGTGTCTGGCTTATAAACACCCAACCAATGAATGCAGACCGCGACTGGTAGCGTATCAAGGGCCGGCCCCCGGCCAATGACCGGATGAGTTGAAATGATTAGTTACCTGTAACAGCCAAAGAGTCGGGCCTGGAACAACTAGGCCGTGGCTTAGTTATATGGCGCGACGCATATGTAGATCATGGATTCAAACGTGCTATCACTGACATTATGGCCAAGGGGCAGAGGATCAGCGCTGGCGTACAAAAGGTCCAACGTCCGGTCACGAACCCGACAAACGGGGACGATGTCCAATGGATCGGACATCCTGGTCCCAGACATTGCAGGCTTACACAATAAAGTCCCCTAACTAGTAAAGAATGCCGCCCTGAGCCTTGACACAAGCCATGCCCAACAGCCGGTGCAAATGGGACCCTACTGCGGCTGCACAGTACCGATTTCCATTCCGAGGCTTGCTTACTAGTTAGTTAGGAACAACAAGAATAAGAAGACGTGCAATATGCTACAAATTACAGAGCGGCATAAGAGGACAAGTCATCCGGCACCTGGCTTCTTCAATTCTTCCCTGTCAGTGGCTTGACGCAGGGGCCCAGGGGCAGTCGAGTCCGAATGCAAGGGCGTGGCGTAATGACAACCAGGAACAGCGCATATTACCGGGGAAAAAGGCCCCAAAAAAGAAGATTGAAAAGCATGGACGACCAATGTTTGATTATGGCTTTCGCCAATCTCGGGCCGAGCAACTGTTCCAGTTGGCAGTCCTGATAACCGCTGTTGAATTTCATGTGCCCCGTGGGGGGAGGCAAAATGCCGAGACAGGTTGCCCCTTTCTCTCTGGTATACAAACGTCAAAATATTAAAAACAGAACTTCTGCAAAGTGATGCGCTTATTAGCGAACGGCGTAATGTCAAAGCGGGCCTCGTTGCCGGCGAGATGGCGATGATGTGCGCGCGTGGGCGCTGCACAGGATCGAGATGTCCTAATTTTGCCTCATTTGAATCAAATATTGGAGTTGGTTTGCTTTCTCAAAGCCCGATCGGCTACGTATGGGGTCTATTAAAGAAAAAGGAGGGCAGTAATAGAGGCTTACAAGGCCACGACTATTCTGGGCGTTATGCCGAGATATGCCGCCGTCGAGCTTAAGTTCATGTTCAATTGACGATTCTAAAAGTAGTATTCCCGTTCGCAGCTGAATTATCAACTACAAGAAAATTTATTATTATGGAAGATAACTAGTGGCGAAGAGATTCAGAGGTGGCCACTGACAGCCCTCGTGTGTTTCACGCGGGCCAATGCGTATAAACGCTAACAAACAGACCGCCAAGCCCAACTAGCTTCGATACAGCACAGGAATATTCGCAGCTTCGAAAAGCAGTTCGCTTGCAAATTGGTATTTCAAGAAAAATGTAGAGAAAATTGAAGCTCTTGTGCAGCGTTTGCTCACAACATCGCAGCCTGGTGGGGGCGCTGCCGCCAAACAGGAAAGGTGCACGTGACCCAGTCGCATCACCAACACTGGCGCTTCTCTGCCCAGCCATCCCGCTTGCGCGATCTGAAGAGGCTGGCAATTTGCATTGCGACCCGGAAGCAACATACATCTGCCGCGTCATCTACCCTGTCTTGCCTTCACATGAGCTTCTGGAAGTTTTTTAAAAATTCTTCTCCAAGCACCAAGGAATCGCCCACGATGCCTCCTGGTAGGTTTTTTTCTTCTTCCTGCTGGCGATCAGGTGGCGCAACACACGCGTTTGAATGTGCCAATCGGGCGTGAAAAGCGCGTTTTATCGGGGTTTGCGACGATGCGTGAAGTTTTCTGACATTTTTTGGCCCGAAATTGCAGCGATTAGTGATGATGAGAGCTCCGACGTCGATGCTCACCTGCCGGTCGCAAGCTGGCGCGACGACGACGACGGCGATGCCCGCCCAGCGCGACGCGCCGCGTCTGCAGCCAAGACTGAGTCGGTCGATATAGACGATGAGGAAGATGAGGACGAGGAAGTAGCAAAGCCGGCCGCTGCCGAGAACGGCGACGAAGAAGACGAGGATGACGAGGATGGTGAAGAAGATGTGTAGGTTACGCAGCCGATGGGAGGGAGGTTTGCAGGGCGACACTGACGCGCAGACTGCAGGTTCATCGTCGAAGCGATAAAAAAGCACATGATTGACGAAGACGTACGTGCCAGCGACGAACGATTCCGGATCTTGGCGCGAGCTGTGTACTAATTGCATTATGCAGGGGTCGCTGAAGTTCCACGTCAAGTGGGAGGGCTACGACAAGAAGGCAGACATGACGTGGGAGCCCGAAGACAATCTCGAGTACGAATGCCCCCGACGCGACATGACGAAATGGGTAGACTGACCAAGCGACGCAGGGAATCGGCCAATGAGGTGCTCGAAGAATACTTCAAAAAGATTGGCGGCCGTGACAGCATCTTTCAGCAGACGGCCACCGCCGTGTCGGGCAAGAAGCGCGGACGCAAAGCTTCCGCCGCGGCGGGTGGCGCCACGGCCGACCCGACGCCGACCAAGCGATCACGCAAGAGCAACGGGACGCACCCTGCGGCCGGGGCGCCACCGGCAACGGCTAAGCCGTGGAGCGCGCCGGCCGGCTCGTGGGAGGACGAGATTGAGTCGATTGACGCGTGCCACGACGAGGGGTCGGGGAACCTGATGGTGTATCTGGTATGGAAGAATGGCAAGAAGACAAAGCACACGACAACGGTGATTTATGCCAAGTGCCCGCAAAAGGTGAGTGAGATATTGGTGGTGGTGGTGATGGTGATGGTGATGGTGATGGCTAACGGTTCAATTGCAGATGCTCCAATTCTATGAGCGGCACATTAAGGTTGTCAAGCCCGACGAGGAGTCCTGATTCAGATGCACGGATGAGCGAGTTGGATGTAACAGAGAGAAGGAAAATGAGGATTGTTGCTTTAATTTTTTACGCAGATGTTGATTTTGGCATCTACTTTTTTTTTCCCTTGGTTATCATTTGGTCTTAGTTTGCCGGCGTTTCCCTGCCTTGGCTGTATGCCCTTCTCAGTCACCGGGCAAGGGAGAGGCGATGTTGTACTGTAGTTAAGCTGGCAAGGAGAAACGAAAATCTTTGTATGACTGTGTATAGCTGCTTGGTTCTTGCAGCGGCGTTTAGTGGTGGCAAATGTTTCCCTTTCCCTTTTTGTCTCAGAAGGCAGATGCACAAAAAGAAGAAAAACTCGGAATCTGATGCAGAACTTGCCAAAAAAGGACAAGAAAGACGAATTGTTTGCCGTGCACAAGAGTACAAGATGCAGTAATTTGTATATATTGCGTTCAAGTTTGGGAACACAACCTTGAACTGTTTCACGTTCCTGGCTAGGTAGGTGCCCAAACTATTGGTACCTAGGCCCCGCAACGGGCCGGTGGGGGGCTGGCGCCGGTGGGAGGCTGGGCTGGGGCTACAGGGGGGGGGGAGGGTTGCACCGTCCAACAGCCTGCAACGGTGTAACGGGCAACAAGAACCAGCCTCCTCGTATTGATTTTTTTTTTTGCTGCTTGTGTCGCGCAAACAGAAAACAGGGTGGCGGGGAAGTCGAGGTATATCAAGGCTGGCCGCGCACGTACAAAGCACGCCCAGACTTTTTCACATTCCATCTCACTTTTTTTCATTACCACCTTTTTCAAAAAAACGTGGCAATATTCGAACATTCTATTGCTTTGCTCCCCAACACAAGCAATACTCTTTTCTTTCGGCCGCACGTCTTCGGCCAACCCCCTTCATCGACATTTCTTCGGAACAAGGCAAACCGCAGCCTCCCAAGAAAACCTTTCGACAAGATGGTGCAACGAAACTACGTCATCGCCATCATCATCATCGTCCTCTTCGCCGTCCTCGCTGGAGTATCATTTGGCATCTGGAAGATGATCCACATGGTGCGACAGGGCTGGAGCGCCACGTCTGGCACCGGCTCCAGCTCCAGCTCCAGCTCGAGTAGAGAAATCGTCGACTAGTCCCGCGCCGTTCCTCGATCGCCGACCGCCGCCGCCTCGTACCTCTTGCCGCGCAAAACGACCAACAACACAAGAGGGCGCTCTTGTGTGATGGGAGCCCCCTTCTCTTGTGTGCCGGCAACGAGGATAAGCATTATACATCACCATCCCTGGTTTTGCTTCGCGGCGGGGCGCTTACCAAAAAAAAATACAAGTTCTCCTCCTTCCGAAGAGCGGGTGTGATTGCCGCTCAGACGGGAGCGGAGGGCTTGGGAGAGGCAGGCTCCCAGCCCGGAGTGAGGCCAGGGGTGCGGCAAATTGGGGCAGGGCGTGAAAATCATCGACATGGATTTCCTGTACCCCCCTCGGCAACCCCCCCTCTGCTGCGGGAGGTAATGATGCGGGGGGCTTGTGATGGGACCTCGTGTGTGGCAGAGGGGGGAAACGGGTGTTCACCGGAACACAAACTTTCATCATCGTCTTCTGTCGTTTGGGCGGCGTTGGCGGCGCTTGATCCTCCCGTTTGGGGCTGCGAGAGCGGAAGTGATGCCCGCGCTCGAGTGTGCTCCCGCGGGGAGGTTGGGCGTCGGGCAGAGCAAAACGGCAGGGACGCGATTAAGCGGTTTAGGGGTCTGGTGCTGTCGACGGGCATGGGTCGCGGGGTCCGTCGAAACCCACCCTGGTGAGTTCAGAGCGTTGCGCTTTTGAACGGGCATATGATATCGTCTTGGACGACGTTTTATGTAGTCTTGAGCCTCGCTCTCCCCCTCCCTCCCCCTCCCTCTCCCTCCCCCCCCCCTTCCCCGTGTGGCGGCTCGTTTTTGTTTTTTCGTCTTTTGTCTTTTGTCTTTTGTCTTTGGTCCTTTTTTTGATTTTTTTGATTTTGGGTCTCTTTTTTGGGTTGTCTTTCTTTGCTTTTTGGGGGCCGGCTTTTTGATTTTTGGGGGCGGCTTTTTGCTTTTTTTGGGGAATATTTTTATTGCATTGGGCGGTGTTTGGAGTTCTGGCGTTCTGGCGTTTTTGATTTCTTGATTTTTGGGTTTATATTATTATTTGATTTTGGGTCTGCTTTTTGGGAAATATTATTATTGCATTGGGTCGGTGTTCTGGAGTTCTGGCGTTCTTGGCGTTCTGGCGTTTCTGGCGTTTCTGGCGTTTCTGGCGTTTTTGGCGTTTTGGCGTTTGTTCGGGTTTTTGTTGTGCGGGTTTTTGTTTCGAGGACTTTTCAACCATTTTTTTCTTCTTCAAAAAACCATCATCAGCACCATAGATACAGTGGAGGAGGGCCATAGACGTGTGGCTCTGTAGAGAAGGGATTAATATCAAGCAGAAAAAAAAACATGGTCTCCCCATTTTGTGAAATGTACAAATTAGTATTCATCCAGTTGAGCGAGTAATTCATCGCGATGACGACTTACACGCCACCACTGTCTCGGTCCAAAAGTGTCCAGCTAGCCTCACACGTGGCCATGCACAGCCTTATGAACCGGTTCGTATATTCATTTCAAGTACCTTTTGTTTATTCTACTACACCATGCAATGCTGACTTCTCTTCCAACACGCGATAGAGCAAACCCCATATACCCTTGCCACACACTCTCTGTCCATGCTGATGCTGGTATCGAGATGATTCGATTCATGCTGATTCTTTGAAACGCAAATCCTGTTGCGGCACAGATTCCTGTCAAATCTAGACAATTTGCCTCATACAACTGCCCGGCCTCTATCCCGGAGTCGTCTCCCAAAACGCCAAAAAACAAAGCAGAAAGATGAAAAACTACTACATGTTCATCTTGCTCACCAGCTCATCAGTCCTTTAGAGCGGTCAAATCCAGCACGCAGCTGACTCTCAGGCTTGACCAGCTTGCCCTTGAGGATCGTGTAGCGCACGATATTCTCGCAGTCCTCGGGGCGGACCCTTGCGAGCCACATGCACTGCGCGGCGCCCATCTCCGCCGTCGGCCCACCGTTCTCATGCGCGCCATCAGCACGCGCAGCCACTTGATCATGGCCAAAGGCGTTGGCGCGGCGGTAAATCATGACATTGGCCGAGTACTTGTGGCCGCCGACGTGGTCGATGAAGTAGATGCCGACGCCGCCGGGCCGCTCGTCGTGCAGGTCGCGCGCGAGGCCGAGCGGGCGCAGGTGGCGCTCAAACTCCTTGCGCAGCAGCGGCGCGCTCTGCCCGCAACGCGCGTCGCGCGTCTTTTGGCTGCACAGCAGGATGACGGCGTTGTGCGGGCAGTTGCTGGTGACGAGGTCCGGGAGCCCCCCGGGGGACGCGACGGAGGTGGGCAGGGTGAAGGACGCCATGGGGGAGGTGTTGGTCGGGGCCTTGTCGACGATGTCGGTGATGAGCTGCGATACATTGGCGGGCTGGACGTTGCGGACTAGGGTAAAGGCGGGGAGAAGCAGGACGGTCGTGGGCTCCGAGTAGTCGGTGGTGTCGTTGGGGGTGGGCATGTTGGAGGCGGAAAGCTTCATTTTCTAGCGACGAGTTAGCAGGGTGTTGAGTTCGGGACATGTACAGAGAGATGGCAAGAGCGCATGCAATCAACAATGCGAAAGAGAAAAAAAAAACGTACTCCGTTGGTCGGCTTATGCGGCGCATGCTCAATCGCCTCCATGACGCTGCCCTTTTCGTCGGCGCTGTCGCGGACCCAGTCGGTCTTGCCCGTGGCGACAATGGCGTGCGTCGCCCACTCCTTGACCTGGCCATACAAATAGTCTTCCGTCTCGATTTTAAAGTTGCGCGGGTACTTGACGCTGCACCCGTCGCAGTCGTGCAGACACTCGTCGCCGTCGACGGCGGGGTCGGTCTTGGGAAAGAGCTCGAGGATCGGGGTGGGACCCTCGGCGCCGCCCTTGCCCAGGACCGAGGACATGATGGACTTTAATGAGACCGCCATTTTCTGCTTGACGGGCATGCGAGGCGTAGCTGCGGCCGGTGCCATCGTGAAAGAGAGAGAAAAAAAAGGTGGGTGCGTGGGCGGGTAAATATAGGTAGGCGTTGCTCTCGTTTTCCGAACTTCCGCACCAACAAATGGACCACCAACACACAAAGGTACAACCCCTCCGTCTCAAGTCCCCAGATTTGATACCGAGTAGCTCTGGCCTCTTTTGGGGCTTGGATTATGAATCGTTGGGGGGGCTTCGCTCGACGTGGGTCAAGTGGGCTGCCAGTAAAGAGATGGCAGCGGACACGCAGCAAATGTTCCTGGCACCCGTGGATTTGTTGGTGATAGGAGGGGGCCGCAAAAAGATTTATCAGATCAAACTGGTGCCAGCCTATCAGATGGCCGGTGGTGGGTTGTTCGCCGGTGGGATGGCCACAGGTTTTATCGGCTAATGAACCCGGGAAAGCCGCTAGGGGTTCAGGGATGGATGAGGTCAGCGGGGATTGAATGATGAAGGCGGAGTTGGGGGGTGATAAAGGACAAAGGATGCGGTAGGAAAAGGATAAGCCGAATGTTGAAAAGATGAAAAGAGCACCGAGGTGCGGTAGGGCTGCTGGTTATATACTCTAACGTCAATTTGGCCGCGATACAAAGATTGAATAGGTAGGTAGGCACGAAAGGAGCCAGACACTTCGGACCCCGAACTTTTCAACGTCGGGTCCCCCCACCGCTTTCCTGCGGCTTGGCTACGTAATTCCTCTCATTTCTTCATCTGCTCCCACTGACACGCGCGACGAGCCGCAACGCAGATGGCTAACTCCGAGCCCACCAGCCGAGCTGCTCTCTCTTCCTTCGTGTCGTTCCTTGTCCACATTCTTCAGGAAGCGCCTTGGTGGGGGAGGGGCGCAGAGCGTTGGGCCTTGAGGTTGGCAGCCCATCTCGGCCCTCCGCGTTTTGCTCCGCTCTGCGGGCGCAGGCAGGGGTAGGGAGGCACGCAACGACCCCGTTATCCAACCATTCTGCGCAGCGTATTACCAACCTCTGCGGCATTGCGTCACTGTATTACGACGGCCTTGATAGGACGGTGCTACGACAAATCTCCACTGGTGGTTTTTGTCCACCAAGGTTATCGCGGATGCGTGGCGGATAACATGTGGCTTCATATCACATCACAGGCCTATCAACCTCTGAGTGACTAGGTGTGCTGATAGAACAAGGCCAAAGTGATATTTGTTAAACAAGGTAGCCGCACTAGATTGTTCGGCATGCTAAAAAATACACATAAACGCTATCAAATCATTCAGGACAACCACCAACAAAAACAAGCCAAATTTCAAAACGCCGTACGCGGTTGCAAGAAAAAGTCAACGGTAACTACATAATTCGAGGCAAAAGGCCACCTCCAAACATTGCCACACGCGTGAATATCCCTCCTCCCTCAAATGTCCTTCTTTCTCGCCTCATCATAGCCCTCGTCATCGCTGTCCTCGTCCTGCTCCTCGCCGCCCGTCTCCATCCGAAGCTTGTCCGATTTGCGCCGGCGGTCCTTCATGGCCTGCCGGATCTTGCGGGTCGCCTCGTTAAATCCCCCGGCCGAGTCGAGCGTCGTGAAGCCACTGATGGGGAACGCGCTCTGGCCCAGGCCGCCGCCTGCGCTGCTCGACCGCGAGCGGCTGCGCGACCGCGACGGAGGCCGTGTCGAGAAGATGCCCACGTGGCCAATGTTGCTAAAAGAGTCGTTGCGTGGCAGCGTACGCGAGGATACGCCGTCCGCCGGCGGGTCCACAAAGACGTCGATGCTGGCCTCGCTGTCGCGGCGCCGGCCCTCGCCCCCGGGCGTCGGTGGGGCCGCGGCGTCGTTCTTGGCGTCCGGCACCAGCCGCGTCTTTTCAAAATCGGAAAACATCTCGGGGCCCAGCTCGTTAATCACCTCGGTGACCTGCGTGCTGAGTTTGACACGCTGCTCGCGCATGCGGTGAATATTGTACCCGGACGAGGGGAACACGCACAGCACGAGCGGTCGGAGCGACTTGAAAATGTCCATGCCCACCTCGCCAAAGCGCAGCGCCGCAAAGGTGATGCCGATAATGGTGGGCCACACCATGAGGTAGACGAGCCACAGCGGGAGCGCCGCCGGGACAAGGCCCCAGAAGCGGTCGTACCAGACGCGGGTAACGATGATGATGGAGTAGATGTGGTAGACGGTGGGCGCGAGACCGAGCGCGACGAGAATCTTCCAGGTGGCCATGACGTCGCGCCCGCGAATCTTGACGGTGGAGCCGGCAAGGGCCGTCTTGGCCTTTTCGCGGCTGATGATTTTCGTGGCGACGAACACGGGCGAGAAGAGGATGAGACCGGGAAGGGAGCAGAAGAACAGCAGGATGAGCTTGGCGGAGCGGTAGAGCAGCACGGCGAGGACGACGAGAATGTTAAGCTTGGCGTACTGGAGCTGGTGGTCCTTGAGGTTGAGGTAGCGCAGGCGGGCATTATACTCCTTTACGCTCTTGGAGAGGGCTGTGATGCGCTCGTCGTCCTTGTAGCGCTCGTAGCCCTTGGACAGGCGGCGGTTAAGCTCGACGACGAGGGGCAGCGGCAGCTTCTTGCCGGTGGGGTTGTAGAGGCGACGGGCAGCCTGAATCATCATGAGGGTGTCGTAGTCGGGCGCCGAGACGGTGACGGCGCTGAGCGCCTGGTGCACCGTGTCGAGCAGCTGGCCAATGGCCTCGCGACGCTGATTGTTTTGGTACATGTGAACGAGGTGCGGGGGAATCTCAAAGGGTGTGCCAAACTCGACGACGGCGCGGGAGCGAAACTTGTGCGCGTGGAAATAGTTCATGCCGACGGGGACGATGCGCAGCCCGCAGGTGGGGGACTCGGCGAGGGCGCCGAGGGCCATGATGGCGACGCCGGCCTTGAGCGGCAGCAGTTCGGTGCGGTCGTGGGAGCCACCCTCGGGGAAGATGCCGACGCAGCCGCCGTTGCGGAGACGATCAAAGACGGCCTCGTAGACGCTCGTCTGGTCCGTGTGCGGCGCGAGCTTGTACTTGGTGCCGCGGAAGCCGGGCGCCGGCCCGCGCAGGCTCTTGTTGGTGAAGTGCCCGTCGTCATCGACGTCGTCGCGGCCGGTGAGCTGCTGCAGCGCCACCCGGCTCTTGAACGGCCGCTTGAGGCGAATCTCCTCGGGGCCGAGAATGGCGTCAATGTTCATGCTCTCGCCGCTGACGCCCTGCGTCGAGGGGAGAAACAGCATGCCCTGGACCTCGCCCTCTCCGGCGCCGAAGTGGGTGCCGACGCCGCGGATCAGCGCCGGGTCGCCGAGGGGGTCCGGCATGTATATGGTGCCAGCGCCGGGCTTGGCGGCGTCCTGGGCGCGGCCGACGGGTACGGAGGAGACTTGCCGCGAGGCCCAGCCGATGAAGCCGTGGACCGACTTTTGCGCAATGAGGAGCGAGACGCGGCGGCCGGCCTCCTTGCGGAGGGTGCGCTGGAGGATGAGACCGTCGACAAACTGTGGCGGGGGGGAGGTGTTAGCAATGGGCAGGTTTGAGGAAGAGGCAAAGGGGTTTTCTGTTTTTTCGTACTTGATTCGCGTGAGGGGCAGCGACAAACAGGATGGGCCCCGACTGTGGCACCTTCCAGGAGCCGCGGGAGACGACCTCGCGGAAGAAGAGGTCGGCGACGTTGCCCATGACGTGCAGTAGAATATCATATTTCCAGTTGACCATGGGGTACAGCTCCTTCTTGTGCTCCTTCTTGTGCTTGGCGGCCGCGACTGACGAGGCAGTGCCCGCGGGTCGCTGCTCTGCCGTGGCCTGTGAAGCCATCGTTGTGTGTTGTGTGTAGGAATTTGAAATTTTTGGAGTCGGGCGAGCGGGCGGCGGCGCGGGGGCAAGGGAGGCTTGTCGAGGTGAGGCTCTGAGCTGCAGGTACGGACGAATAGCTTGCGGGCAGCCAGCTGCTCCTCTGTGTTTTGTTTTCGGCACTGGTGGTCGTGGGGTATCACAGACTCGGAGCCATGAATCGCGAGTACTATCAAGAGTAGATTCGCAGTAAGCTCCGGCCAGAGCGGGGAAGAGAAGCGCGCAGTGGTTATAACTCTGATCTCGAGGGCGCACACAGAGGAACCAGTCAAGATTGGGTGAGGAGAAAAAAGTGGTTGGGCCACCTGCAGCTCTAGCTTCAGCCACTGCCAGCCAGGAAGCCAAAAGAAAAAAAAGAGGGATCACAGCGCTGTAGAGCCTATGACAGGCGACCATCAGCCCCAGGTGGCGTCCGATGATGCGCTAGAGAAGAAGGTGTTTGGGGAAGCTGGTGGCATGTTTTTGGTGGTTGTTTTAGAGGTTAGTACAAATTAGTTAGCGCTCCCAGTCGTGGGTTCGGGGCGTTGCAGGTAGGCAGGCATCTTGGGAATAGCGTCATTTACTGTGACATTCAGCAAACGGCGCTGAGTAGCACATCTGGAAATAAACGCCGCTGCACACCATGAGACTTTTCAATCACCAGCATGTGACGCCATCATCCCATTGACTGCCCATGCATGCATGCAGCCTTTCTCCCCGTACTCTCCGGCCTCACCTCAGCCACACCTCCACCACCACCAACCACTCAAACTTTGTCCCATTAGGTAGTAGTTATCCCACCACTGCCCGCAACAGAATTGGTTCTACTTCTGCAAGGCGCAGGAATTTCAGGCCGGGAAGCCCATTCCTGCCCCCCGCATATGCACGGAAGACGGGCCTCACCTCGGCACGCTCAAAGCGGTCCTCACGTCCGATACGAGGCTGTCTGCCTTGCCTTGTCCCCCCACGCCGAGGGGAAAGGCAGGTCCAATTACATGGATATTGTCAAGTTCCTCAAAATATACTTGACTTGGTCGACAATCTATTAAGAACACAGTGTATGAACAGCACCAATAACAATGGGATGTCTACAAGGGGTAGAGATGCCCAGCCAATAGTCTCAACTACGTACATTTGCAGAGCGATGTGAACACGAGAACTTACCTACGTAGTCACCAATATCATCTCCCTGTACTCCACAAGCAGAAATCCTTTCCCGGCCGAAATGGGAAAATTTTCGTCCCAAGTTCCGAGCTGGCAAGGCAAACTTTTGGCTTGTGACAACGGTCCAGCCCGCTGCCGCCGCCCCCCCGGTGGGTTCGGGCGCCCCGAACCGCTTACTCTCGGCGCGCAAGTTCTATCGTATTTTTCGACGACCGGCCTGTTGCGCAAGTCCCGAAATCCCCGAGGCAGAGGCACTTATCGCAGGAGGGTATGGACAGTCTCGTTGCAAAAAGAAAAAAAGTTTTTTAAAGCAATTGCTAACTTACTCGGTAAGCTGCAGCCTCTCCGGCGCTCTCCTAGCGCCGGCGGCCGCACCCGTCGCGGTAGACGACAGTAGGCCTGTTGGATGGATTTTAATCAGAATTATTTGTAAAATTTAGGTTTGGTTTTAAGGTCCCCGCAGGCGCCGTTTGCCTTTTTCAGGGATTTCCACCGGCGTTAAATAGAAATCAATAAATAAATCGGTAAGCTACAGCCATGGTCATGTAGTTCGTGGACGTCCTGCTTAGATATCGAGCACCACAAGAGACTGGGACATATTCTAGTCCATCGTCAGTGGGTTGCAGGTTGCAGAATCTCGTACAGCCCATGCTTTCTATTCACTCGTCATTCGTCAAGTACCTAAACGAGCACGCTCGTGCGCCAAGCAAGAAACGCCTGACTCAATGGCCAACCGCATTGTTAGCCATCTCCAAGTTGAGAATACATTCTCTAACTTTATACACCAACTCAATCACGCCATCAATCACGCTTTATCCAAGCCTCCGCTACCGCTTCCCCCTCCTCCTGCTCTTCTTCTCCGGCACGCTCGCACTCCCGCCCGCCAGTTCCCCATCCTCCAGCTGCCCCTGCTGCTCCATTTCCTTGAGCTTCTCCTGCCCTGAGATGAACATGCTCAGATCCCGATTCATCTCCTTCATCTCCTCCACTTCCAGGCGCAGCGCCGCGAGCTGCCGCTTCGTCTCCTCCCCGTCCACGCCCAGGTGCTCGATGCGCCGCATGAGGCCCTCGTTGACTTTCTTCTCTTCCTGCAGGGACCGGCTCAGGTTGCGGGCCAGCGTCTCGCTCTTGGCTGCCTTGGTCCGCTCCCGCTCCAGATCCCGTTCGAGGTGCGGTATTGTCTCCATGCGCAGCGTCTGAAACTGGCCATCCAGGGAGTTAAACTGCTCCGTCGCCACAGTGGCCTGCCGCGCTGTCGACTCAGCCGTCGCCGAGGCTTTCGAAGCTTTGCTGGCGGCTTTTCTCAGCATCTCTTCGTAGTATGACCGCTGCGACTCCAGCTGGCTGGTGAGGAGGTGCGTGTATTCAAAGCTCATGTTGTCCAGCTTGGCGCGCGGCACCACATCCTCGTCGGCCGCAGGCGGATGGCTCCCGCTGCGCCCGGGCAGCTCGACGACCTTGCCATCGCCTTTGTCGCGAATCAGCCGGTGCACCCACGCGTCTCCCGCGTAGTCCCAAACGTATTGCGTCTCTAGTTCAAGCGCAAAGCTGTGCGCCGTCTCCTTCCAGTGGTCTTTGGCGTGACCGCCCTTGTACCTCCCGCAACCAATGTACCCGCATAGCAGGCAGATCCAGAGGTCATCGGTAGAGTCGCACACGCTGCACAGGTTCGACACGTCTGAGCCAAACGGTCGGCCAAAGGGACGTGCTTCATCACCGTCGGCGACGTCGGCGTTCGTGAAGCGGCAGACGGGGCAGCCGCCACCTTTCCAGTTCCGTAGACACGTGCAGTGGAATACATGGGAGCATGGGATCGTCATGAGTCCGCTTGTCTCATCCATTCGCTCCAAGCACACGGGGCACGTCGGTAATTCCACTAAACTCGGTGTTGGTGGAGGAAACGGTTTGGGTGTATTGAAGGCTGCTGTTGATGATGACGCCAACGTTTCGTGAATTCTACCATGTGCTGGTGTCTCAAAAGTGATGCTCTTTACAAATACGACGTGACAAACCTGCGGCTGTAGACATGTCAATGGAGGATTTTCTTCCTGCAGCTATGCTAGGAGTCAGCACATACCTCTATCGTATTAAACGCCGTCCCGTCAAAGATCCTTTTCCACTCTTTAGCCACCTTGCTGTGCCTGAACTTGAGTAACACTAGGTACCGATTCATTTTGGACGTCATGACCATGCGGCAGTGGCTAATATCCTCCCGCCACTTCTCACCTAGAAATCCCCACAGATCGCCCGGCGACATGTACGCCGGCACCGCGGGTATGCAAAGCGTCGAACAGTCCTCCTCTTCCTCGCCCGCCGCCGCCGTGACTGACCGTTCCGCCTCGGGTAGTTGCGGCCCGGCCCTCTCCTTCTCGTCACGATAGAAGTGTACCACGCCCCATCCAATATTTGTATGATGGGTTTCGAGCCGGACGCACGTCGCCTTGGTGGCGGTGCCCGGTCCAGAGAAGCTAGGCCCTAGGGACGGCGCGGCTGCGGCGCCGGGCCTACTCGTTTCAGCTACGGCCATAGCCATGGCCTCGGTTGGATCGATCGTCTCGATGCTCACAAGGCCAAAACGCCAGTCCCAGGGCCTGGTTAAGGATGCCCCGTTGTGTGAGGTTTCTTTGTCGTTAGTTCGTGGTGGATGCGCTGGCAGGTCGTCAAACACGCTCGTCTGCGCCGTCGGAAGCCAGATGTCGGTGCCAGCAGTGGCGTGTGTCGAAGTCGGGTCGACGGTTGGATATAGCTCAAACTTAAGATGGTAGAAATACGAAGGCATGACCAATACAGAGGTGCCGCTGTACTCCCAGGAAGGTTTGGCCGCTCCAGATGGCTTGTTGGCGTCGCTCGTCGCGGGGCGATTTCTGGTGGTTACGTCACCTTGGGAGCAAAGTGCGCTGTATACAGAGTCGCTCGGCTGGTCGGTATACTAGATACATTACTAGCTGCCTCGGATCCAGTACTGCGTAGCCAGCATCAACGAGCCTTTGTTAAAATAGTTGATGTTTTAGTCAAGTTGAGTTGAAGCTTCAGCCCCGCCACGGCAGAGAAGAAGGTCGCCCCCACTATAGTACCAACCACCTCCGTAGGTACTACACAGCGACAGGCAGCCAAGACTTCTCCGCGCTACCAAGTAATTACAAAGTGTGTCATATGGTCAAATGTCACAGAAGGAACACATTCCACGGTAGTATCGTGTTTAAGAGTGCAAATAACTCGAGATTGGTGCAGCGCTTTTTTTCGCGCCTTACACAAGTGGAATAGCTAAAAGAACATGAAGTGGTCAAGGCTGTGCCCGCCGCTTATCATACTGCCCCAACGCCGCATTTCGGATAATTAAAATGAACAAAGACGAACGAGTTCGCTCCTTAGTTGCCACCACGGAGACGGAGAACCAGGTGAAGTGTGCTCTCCTTCTGAATGTTGTAGTCGCTCAAAGTGCGACCATCTTCCAGCTGCTTACCAGCAAAGATCAAACGCTGCTGGTCAGGAGGGATGCCTTCCTTATCCTGGATCTTAGATTTAACGTTGTCAATCGTGTCAGAGGACTCGACTTCCAGAGTGATCGTCTTTCCAGTGAGGGTCTTGACGAAAATCTGCATACCACCACGCAGACGCAGAACCAAGTGCAGAGTAGATTCCTTCTGAATATTATAGTCGCTTAGGGTGCGACCGTCTTCCAGCTGCTTACCAGCAAAGATAAGACGTTGCTGGTCAGGGGGAATGCCCTCCTTGTCTTGGATTTTCGACTTGACATTGTCAATAGTGTCCGACGACTCAACTTCCAGAGTGATGGTCTTTCCGGTGAGTGTCTTAACGAAGATCTGCATACCGCCACGAAGGCGGAGGACAAGGTGGAGAGTGGACTCCTTCTGGATGTTGTAATCCGAAAGGGTACGGCCGTCTTCAAGCTGCTTGCCAGCGAAAATGAGGCGCTGCTGGTCGGGAG